AAAATTTGTATTGTGTGTTCCAACGGCGAATTCATGGCCAATTCAGGAAATAAATCACTGAATTTGGGACTGAAAACTGCATTTAAATGTACAAAATTCCAACACAGCGTCCACATGAAAAAAGTTTATGGAAGTCGATAGAAGAAACCTCAATTGAAAATTTTACACACCATCTTTGTAGAGGAGAAATTGCGACATTTAATATGAAATCCCATCTGAAACGAGGTCAGGAGAAATAAAACTGATTTTGGGATAAATCTGGTATGCGAAAAAAAATGATTATCTGATAATTTCAATGCCTACCCACGAAATTCTGCTTTTTTGAAACAACTAAGGTTAGTAATGTCAATGTAGCTTTTATTATTTCAGACGACAATACCATAATGAATTTCCTATTCATGACGAATTTTAGTATAGAGAATACGAAAAAAGACTGGATATGTATTATACAATCAGAAATTTGCTACCCGAGATGTTTAAAGATAAGAATCCAAAGCTCCCACACATGAAACGGGTAGCAGAAACTGTGTAAGTACAGCACTTTCTTCGTAAATATACTCAGTGACAAAAAAGAGAACACTCAGTATAAACGCACTTCCGTTAACGAACCTTTATATCTATCATACAAATTCTAAGAAAGAAAAGGGCAATACATGTTTTCACTTGAATGATTTCTTAAAAAATAAAATCATTTCTATCAAGTGTTGTATTTCTTTGGTACTGAGTATACACTGTATACCGGGTATAACAAACGTCACGGTTTTACTAACTTTGAACAAGGAGTTCAATGGCGACCTTGAGCATCGTCTTGAAGGATATTTCAAAGGCCAACTATTGTATTTTACATGGGAAGCCCACTTTTTGACACCATAAATCAAATGAACGGAATATTCTACCTCATATTTATTAAATCTAAGCTCAAGGTCATCTCTAACGTCAAATGAAGGTCAACTGTGGGCAGCTAGGGTAAATTCCTAGGAATTTAGCAGGATCTTATTTTCGAAAAAGTTCGCGATTACAATAATTCTCCGCCCATGGGAAGTGAAAGAATAAAATGAGTTTTAAAAAATTAAAATCCCCAATGGTTACTTAGATATGTTGAACAACCATTTTACAAGCTGGTGGCCCCCAAGATCACCAGATTTAACGCCCTCACACTTTAATCTGTATGGATTTTCAAAAACTAAGGTTCGTTGCCATCAAATAATAACTATAGAGCAGCAAGGAAATTTAGAAGCTGTTCAAGTTACTCCTGCCAAAGGGTAATGGAAGAGAGAGTTCAGGCTGTGAGGCTATTTATTTGACCACAACTTTTCCTTCAGTGATACTGGATTTCATGTTGAAAATATTCGAGAAATAGATCAGTAGTTTACATGTTGGCCTATCTTCGTTTCTTCCAGATACTGCATTCCTCTACCAAAGGTAACTGAAGAGGGTTACAGAATAACTGTATTAAGAAATAACGTCTAGCACCAGAAGAATTTGATCCATATAACATCATAGGACACATAAACAATGTTTGGAAATACGGATGCACGAAGATGTCACTATGGGTGACATTCACATATATGATTTTAGTAATGCTAAGATGGGACACGTCGTTAAATTGACCCCCCATTTTTCTAAAAAAGTGTGCAGTAGCGTTTGAGTTGAGATTTTTAACGTTTAGTATTTTCGTATTTACACAACTTCTAGCTTGATTTTATAAACAAAAATGTTGCACTAACAGAGTTTTGGAGCAATTATAAAAACAAGTTTCCCATCTTTCCCATAAAGCTTGCTGTCTATGTTTGGCGTTTGGCTCTCTTCACACATTCCGCTCCTTTTTGTTTCTGTATTCGAGAGTAATCGTATCTTTTGTTTTGCTTCTCTCTTCCAGAGCAACTTGATTCAGAACCCCGACTTATTATCGTTATTGAATTGAAACCGGTTAAACATCGAAAATAACTGAAAAACGATCTTTTGATTTTAAGTTTCAAAAGTCATAAAAACGGGAGACGACGCATTCATTTCATCTAATGCACATGGCAAATAAGTATATGCGCGTCATGTCAATACATGGAACGTGAGAACTGATTGTCAGTGTTGCCAGAGCCCACATTGAAAATTCCGCTACTGATATCGAAAAACTTCGCTACTTTCCGCTACCCCCGGGGGATTATCGTCGGGGGAGGGGGGTTGCGCACCATAAATCAGGGGGCATTTATTATACAGGTTGTGCCAAAAAAGAAAAACAAAACCAAACAGCGTGATAAAATATAAAATAACTATAAACTATAATAAAAAAACATTTAACTATATAAACCAATACAATATTACAAATAACTGTCAAACAACAGAACATTATCACGGAGTCATATTAAAAAAATATCACAGGAAACAAAAAAATAAAAATCATATGACTAAAGACCATTTCTGTTTTGCATAAAAAATTGAAGTTTTTGGGTTACTTAAACTTAATCACTGTCTGTATCAGATTCTTCTTGTTGCATTTCTGTTCTCTCTATACTATATAAATTATTTTTGCATTTTTTAAAATGTTTTTCACCAAACTCGAAGTCTAAGCTGCAACATTTTATGTACCTATTGTATCCAGTTTGATAAGGATCGCGCACAAAGTTGAAGGTAAAATACGATTCCTTTTCTTTGTTTTGATTATCTCCATATATGAGAATGTCCACTCGACATCTGCATTACCATGTGGCAAATGTTAAAATTATTAGACATACTTTGGAAATACACTTCACAGGTAGTGTTCTTACCAAATAATACCATGTATTCGTGTCTTCGTTGAATAAGAATTACCGACCGGTGGTTACCACTGTCGATTGGAAATATATCTGTATTTAGATTTAGTTACTAACTTCACTCAATTTTTTTTTCTGTTAAAAATATCCATCATGTGTACCTAAATTGCAAAATTCCGCTACTTTTAACAAAAAATCCAATTCCGCCGCTACGCCGCTATCACTTGAAAATTCCGCCACCAGTAGCGGAATTCCGCTACTTCTGGCAACACTGCTGATTGTCGGCAATTTTTCCCGTTGATGTTTGCCGAGATAGTCCGCATAATGCTAGGCAACCCATTATACAGAGTGGGGTAGGCGCGCTTGTCTACCAAGCGGCAACACTGACAGCTGCTTGCTGGTGTTAATTGAACGTGATTGTTAGATTGATTCAACATCTGTGAATAAAAAAGCTCATTCGCAAAATTATCGTACATTCAGCTATTATCCTACACATACTATCGTACATCGTACAGTACTTGAAATTATCGTACGTCTGGCAACGCTGTTTGCGACAATGTCACAACACAGAAAACTGGTACCAACATAAATGTACCCGGAAAATTCAAACTATACGTACCAATTCAGGATCTATTTTGCATTAAGGTTGGTATCCAAATTTACTAAATACTCGTATGATGTAAATGCTTTGTTTCGTTGAAGGGACTATATTTACTATTTTACGCTGACATCTTAAGGTCAGCGCGCACTGGAGTCAACTTACTTGATTGATTTTATACTTTATTTGTATATCCGAGAGGTAAACCGCACCTAGAAATCTGTACAATAACGGGAAATATTTCCACGCAATTCCTATTAATGCCCAATAATTCCCCTTGTTTTAAATGATTCCCCCGTAATTCCCTCTAATGCACCATAATTCCCGGATAATACCCTCTAATGTACCATAATTGCCCTAATTTTTGACAGCCGCTTGTATCATAAAAACTTTTTATTTTTACTTTATATACTAAGTGACATATAAATCCGAACACCCAGTTTAAATGGTTTTATTTTAATAAAAGTTGGTGAATGTATTTATCTTACTGTAAATAACAAGTGAAAAAATTTTCAGCCTTATCAGTTGGACATTCCGGTTTTTATACTGCTTTTTTTTAATTCACTAACGCTCTAAAAATGAATATTTCAGCCGCAGTAAAGAATCAACGTTGGCGGATTTTGGTTCTTGACATCCTTTACGATCGGTTACGATGCCTAGAGTATGGAGACCTGTACGATTTCGTCAACTTAGTGAGTTTGATAGGAGCCATATAGTGGGACTTCGGGAAGCTGGACTTTCTTTTCGGGCAATTGCAGTTAGAGTGCAAAGAAGTGTAGACACTGTGGTTAGGTGTTGTCAGGCATGGCTTCGAGAAGGCCGTACGCAAAGAGCAAGGGGCACTGGACGCCGCCGTAGAACAACAGACCGTGAAGATCGCCGCCTAAGATTATTGGCCTTAAGGGACCGTTTCTCCACTACCAGGTCCATTGCAAATGAATAGTTTGCAGAACACGGAAGACCTATTGGCATGCGAAGTGTTTACCGACGAATGAGAAGTTTTGGCTTGTTTCATACCGGCCACACTGGGTCCTCCCTTTAACTCGAGAACACCGACGTAATCGCCTTGAGTGGTGCAGACAACGGTCACTCTGGGATCAGGAATGGAACAGTATTGTCTTTAGTGACGAGTCTCGATTTTGTTTAGGCATGCACGATGGTCGTGCCAGGGTTAGAAGGCGACGTGGTGAAAGGAGGAATCCACAGTTTTTTGTTGAAAGACATGTTCATCACACTGTTGGAGTTATGGTTTGGGGTGCTATAGCTTATGGTTCCAGGTCACCTTTAATCTTCATCAGAGGTAACATGAACGCGCAGCGTTATATCCACGAAGTTCTAGAACCCCATCTTTTACCCTATCTTGACACCCTGGCAGATCCAACTTTCCAACAAGATAATGCTCGACCACATGTTGCAAGAGTCACAATAGACTTCTTTCAACATAATGATGTCACATTGTTACCATGGCCACCAAGATCTCCCGACTTATCCCCAATTGAGCACGTGTGGGATATGATGGGTAGGAGATTGCTCAATTTGCAACGTCCTCCTCAGACTCTAGAAGCACTTCGAGAGGAGTTGGTGGTTGCCTGGAATGAGATACCACAGGAGGACATTGACCACCTGATCAGAAGCATGCCTAGGCGCGTTGGAGAATGCGTAGCACATCAGGGTGCATCCACACATTATTAAAGGTCAAAGGGCTTTAAAGCAGTGCAATCATTTTGAAATTTTTATCATTTACTTATTATGCTTCATTAAGTACTTATACAAGTGTTTATTAAAATAAAACCATTTAAACTGGGTGTTCGGATTTATATGTCACTTAGTATAGATAGTTATATTTCCTATTTCAGGAAGTATTCAGCAACAAAATCAAACAAATGCATTACATAAATGTCCCATCATTTGCGGAAAGTATCATCAGTTTAGCTAAATCGTTTCTCAAGCCAAAACTTCAAGAAAGGGTAATTGAGCCAATAAATACAACGTGAGGCAGCATAACTTCTTTTTTTAATTTTTTTAGAAATATAAGATAGCATGTATGACTTCTCTCAATCGTCTTGTTTTCCAGCAACCCGCATCAACTTCCATTTTTCTTATGGCAGCCATATTGGATTTTTTTATTTTGAAAAAAGTGCAAAATTTCCAGTCTGTGCATACATAATAGATTGGAGTATCACATAAATATCATCACACGTGATGTTATGTATTAGTTTTTTTAGGAGACCATGATTTATTTGTCAGGAAATAACATTAATGAGTAAGGCATAAAAAGATCGCTCTCTGGATTGCATCTATTTATCTCTGTCGCACCTTTTCAATTTTTGAATTAAATCTAAGTGTTGCACGTTATGTTGGTACACAAATACTTTAGATTTATTCAGGTGTGAAATGTTATCAAATTGTTGAAGTATTCTTAAAATATCGATTTTTTTAATGATCAAGCAGATAAGAAGGCAAAGTCTGAATACAGAAGCCATCTGCTGATTGTTAGACATGCGTTATCTTCACAGCAAACTCGAGAGAGATTAAATGGTGTGAGCATAACCACTGCGAAAAATGGCGTCAAGTAGATTGACTCTATACTTCCTCCTCCGATAATATTCGAACTTCGGTACAAAACTTTCCTGTTGCCCAAGATATATGTATCTCACAAGTCCGTGTTTCTCATTTATGTCGGTTTATCAGTTCATGTCTGTTGCATAACAAAACGTCATAAGTACTGAGTCGATCTACTTGACGAAATATTCAGAGAACCATCATAGACGTAGTAACGCAAATTAAAGGTTAGACAGGACAAATTGATAGAAATCGAAAAAATTACGATTCAATCGAAAAAATCATATTTTATTTGTTCTAAAAAATCTCTACTAAATGGGTGCGAAATATTTTTACATCGGAATAAAAATCGACGAGTTTCAAGCTTATTTTTCCCAGTGCTCTTATCGGCAGAAATAATTAATCACACAGAAATGGCTGATTTGTACCCAATACGATTATTGTTTGCAAATAATAGCTGCAAAATGCAAATAAATCAAAAACACACTACAGTATATTCAGATAAGAGATAGACCGGATGCAAACAAAAGGTTCGGGTGATTTTCACGCTAACGCCGCCGTCTCGACGTAAAACAGGAGCCCTCATTGGTCAATTCGCAATTAAATGCCTATGCCGAGCGGCAGAGCAGTCGTATCAAGGCAGAGTCACATTCAGGTTCAGACGTGTTACGTATGTCGTGTGCATCATTGCAATTTGATATTTCTTTGGACGTTTTCGTTTGTTATCTTATTAAGTTGTTGAGTTTGTCGTTGTTATTGTTATACCTTGTTATTGATTGTTATTGTTATCAACTGCTTGCGCAAAATGCCCAGTAGTACAGATACTGCCGATGAAGTTGTAAACTCCTGTAGTCCACCTAGGAAACGCTCTAAAAAAAGACACCTGAGTGCAGAAATGAAAGAGGTCATTTTGAATATATATAAGATCGAGCGCGAGGAGAACGAGGCATCAACCATCAAAGAAATTGTTGTGAAGGTTTCTCACAAAGTTGGGGTGTGTCGCGCATCAGTGTTTAATGTGTTAAGACAATACAAAAAAAATCACACCTTTTCTGAGCCAATGACCAGTAAACATCGCAAAAGTATTGTTAAATCATTGGATGAAGCTGATAAGCATGCGATTAGGAGGAAAGTGCATGAATTCTTCTTTAGGAATGAAATACCTACTATAGATAAAGTACTGCAGGAGGTAAATGGAGATACAACGTTGCCAAATTTCAAACGATCCACTTTCCACGCGTTACTGAAGCATTTAAATTTCAAATAGAAAAAACGGGGTCGTAATAGTTTACTACTGGATAGAGAAGAAATTGTGCTATGGAGGAGGGATTATTTAACAAAAATTGGGAAATATAGAAATCAAAACAGGACGATTTATTACCTTGATGAATCGTGGGTAAACGCAGGACACACTACAAGTAAAGTATGGGTTGATGATTCTGTAACTTCATCCAGGAGGGCCTTTCTAGATGGACTGTCCACCGGATTAAAAAATCCAGCAGGTAAATACGAGTAATAGACAACAATCGGATGTTTTTCAAACCTTGGGAACAAGGTTCTAAACATTAATTCCAGGGGGCAGATAAAACATATTACAAGTAACAAAACTTTTATAACTTTCGATAAAATGCGTGGATGTTTTATTGTCATTTTCATTTGTTAGAACTTTTTTAAGCCACGTTTTTATGTGTTTTCGATATTTCAATAATTTTTTAATATAATCTTAAAATATGTCGAATATTATAAACTTAAAAAAGTTACTAAGTTTTATATTGTGTACCGTTCCTAATATTTCTAATCATTTTAATTCATACTTTAAGCTTTATAAAGTTTTAATTTGTTAATATTAGTATTTGCGCGTATTTCAGGTTCCTGATCATTCATTTTTAAAGGTTTATAACTTTAAATGAAATTGTGAAGCGCTGAGTAATCATACGACGTTCAATATTCTTTCTTTCAATATGACTAAATAATCCCAATTATAGCAATCTGATACTCATGTCTCAATGTTTTTTCGCTGAATGTGATGAAAACATTTGAAAAAGGTTCGCTTATTGAAATAAATCTACACCAGTTAGTACTTCGATTTCCAGGTAAAGGGAAAAGGCTCATTATCTGCCATATTGGCAGTGAGGATGGATTTGTTGTTGACGGTCTGTGGTGCTTTGAGTCTAAGAAAACTGGAGATTACCACGAGGAAATGAATGGCGAATCGTTTGAACAGTGGTTTTCAAAAATTTTACCGAACTTAGAGGAAAACGCAGTAATTGTGTTGGATAATGCGCCTTATCATTCTCGAAGAATGGAGAAGGTCCCAACAACGGCTTCAAGGAAAGTTGATGTTCAAAATTGGCTCCGCTCGAAAAATATCAACTTTGAAGAAGCAATGCTGAAAGTACAATTATTAAGAATTGTCAAGGATCACAAGGCGGAATATCAAAAATACGCCATTGACGAAATGGCAGCAAGTCAAAATAAAACTGTGCTCCGTTTACCTCCATACCATAACGAGCTCAATCCCATTGAGCTCATATGGGCAGAGGTTAAAAATTATATAGCTAAGCACAATACAACTTTTAAATTTTGTGACCTCAAAGGACTTTTCAAAGAAGCACTAGAATTAATAACAGCGCAAAAATGGGAAAACTGTATTAAGCACGTGAAAGACAAAGTTGAAAAGAGAATGCGGGAACTGGACAATATTTTAGAGGAACAAGTCGAGCCATTCATTATTGACGTTGGTGCTTCAGGCAGTAGCGATGTTGAAAGCTCATCAAGCTCATCTTTCCAATAAAAGATGTCGTTCATCAAATTCGGTAAGTTATAAGTAATTATAAAGCTACTGTATTTTTTAATTAATTATTGACATTTTGAAACCCATTTTGGCAAAACCTATTCAAGAATCTACTTTCTGACAATGTTCAACCATGCACATTTTTTTACGTTTTGAACGTTTTAATTTGTTTACATATTTACCTAGAAATCAAAAAATATACTAATCAATATTCTAAAAGCAATTTTAAGAGATATACGATTATTTTTAATTTAGGCTAATTTAAACGCCATTTTGAGATTATATTCGACTGTATTTCACCAAACATCAGGCGGCATCCGAAGCTGGTTAAATCGAAGCGAAAATTTTGAAACCCTTATGTATATTTACATCATTATATATTTCTTACCCCACCCCCACATGATCCTATATCCATCACCAATCGTATACACATCGAATTGTGCTAATTTACTACAAAGTTACGCAAAGCAGCATCTACTATCTAAAATATGTACTGCGTGACTCTTAATACGTCCCTGCCGAATGTTACAGCGTTCGATGATCACGTGGTCTTGTTTATGTCCGGTCTATCTCTTATCTGAATATACTGTAACTACACCAATACAAAATGAAAAGTTTACTTCTGCCCACTTCTCTCGTGAAACAGAAAAAACTCGTTGGAACGCTCGTATCAGTAAACAGAAATAGTCCCACAAAAAATGTTTGACGCTGATTGGTCAACCAATACGACTATCGCCTGTAGAATATTCAACGGACGCTCTGCTAGGTGTACGGCTTGTAGGCGGGTCTTTCGTGGTGTTTTATCTCTCACAGGATATTATTGGTTATTTAGTATTCCTTTTGCTTGCTATCATGTAGGAAACATTGGGATGTGTAAAATGTTTTTGTTCTTCTTGTATTGAGGGTCATACGTGATGCTGAGACACTGGACATAATAAAACCATCATTTGGGCGTAGAGAATAAACTAAGGCATATTTTCAACATAAATCTTAATTCAAGGAACGATGTAACATGTCGGCAACGCGGTAAAGTGTCAGCATTGCTAGGCAACGCGGTGATGAGCTTTGCTATCCTGCTGGCTCCTATATCTATCTAACATATGTGTCTAGACACACTTCTCTCTTGTACACATTGAACTCAAGCCGTCAGACAATTTGGTTTTCCTGTATACAGTGTGTCCCAGATTCGGTTCTCTATACTGGGATCTCGGTTCCTGTTATACCTACAGCAAAAGTTAAATAGGGGAAAGTTTTAGAAGGAATTTAGTATACTTTATCTGAAGTCACTTGAAACACTGTGAAATACCGGGTGCGTTTTATATATCTATATTTAACACGCTCTGTTGCTGCAAAAATCGCCAAATTTCGCAGCAAAGGCAGTTTCACCGGTCCACGTGGAGTAAAGCACGCCTATGCGTGAACATAGCCAATGAGAAAGCGTGTATTTCAGAGCTCCGAACAAGTGCAGGTGGCTACTGAAAATTGAAACAGTTTAGCCAGTGCCGTGTAGCGGTGAATAAATGTGTTTTCTTTAGTCTGTCTGTGTTTTTTCATAGATTTTATTAGTTTGTGTGTTTTTGACTTTTGAATACTCAGTTTACTTGTTGATTTAATTGTTGTGTTGATTGTTCTTGTGTGTCCTAAATATGGCTCTTTGGAGACCTTGGGAAAATGCTCCAAGCCACGAGGAGATGGTTGATGAACCTGTGCAGGCAGAATTCTTTCATAAAGATTTAGAGGAACAGACCCAAAGAGTAATCCTAAATATGTATGATTGTCTGAAAAACGAAAATCCAGATTCCTCGCAAAATCAAATTTTAAACAGAATTTGTATCTAGACAAAAATCAGTCGGTCTACCATTTATCGGGTTATAAAAAGGGGAGATGTAGTCAACCATTCCTTCCACAGAAAGCGCATAGGGCAAAAATTAAAAAGAATAGACGTGGGTTTTCAGGAAGATATTCGTCGTATAATATACGGATTTTATAAAGAAAATTTGGTGCCCACGTTGGAAATGATACGGGATAAATTAAAAGATTATCCTGAAGATTTTTATAATTACAAATGCTTAGACTCACTGCACTGTATTGTAAAACTGTGTGGTTTTCAATACAAAAAATTAGATAAAAGAATGGTGATTATGGAGTCGTCTCGAATCGTTGAATTGCGCCAAGAATTTTTGCACAAAGTTAAAATCTGTAGAGAGCAGAAAAGAAATCTGATTTACCTGGATGAAACGTGGTATGATACCCATGATGTTGTGCAGTACGGCTGGGTTGACGACAGCAACAAGTGCATTTTAAATGCACCATGCAACCGTGGAAAACGAATCATTATTCTCCATGCTGGCAGTGAAAATGGATTTATACCTAATGCCTTGCTGTTATCTGCCAAAAATATCAAAGAATCATGTGCCGACTATCATGAGGACATGACCTTCGAATTATTTGAAAAGTGGATAGAGCAGCAGTTAATACCAAACATTTTCCCAAATTCAGTGATTATTATGGACAATGCGCCATACCATTCCCGACAGAAACACAAAATTCCGAATACAGGCACAAAAAAACAAGACATTATTGATTTTATGAAGGATAAGGGAATGGAAATACCACAAAAATCAACCAAAGCCATATTATTGGATCTTATTAAAAGACAAAAATTTGAAAAAGAGTATGTTGGTGACAATCTGCTTCAGCAAAATGGCCATGAAGTATTACGTCTACCTCCCTATTACTGCATTTTTAACCCGATTGAGTTGGTCTGGGCTGCTTTAAAAAAAAAGTAAGAAAACATAATCAGACCCCTCAATTAAGTGAATCGCTATTGGCCACAATAAGAGATGCAGTATCTCATATTGCTGCCACAGACCTATGAAAGCAGTGTTCTAGGCATATTATTGAAAAAGAAAATGAATATTGTGTTTTGCCTCCTGTAAATCCCGTTGTAATTCCTCTACAAGATGACTCTAGCGACAGCTCCGAAGGCGAGGATGATATATAAATACCTATAATGTAAGTCTTTATATACCTTTTTATATACCTACCTGCTATGTCAAACGTTGGAATTCTGTAATTTTTCCATTTCTTAACTTTCAGTCAACATAAATTAAACTCCCAATATAAGTATTTTTTATCCCAAATCAAAAAATAAGAAAATAGTAAAATCCATTTATTGTGATATAAAAACATTATTATTATCGTTCTAAATAAATGACCGCACGCCTATGATACGTCATGAAATTACAAAGGACGCGCCGACCAAAGGTTTTTATGCTATTTCAAGTGACTTCAGATAAAGTATACTTTCGATAGCAGGCTTCAGATTTACGTTCGGTCAATTGGTTTTGAAAATATCAGCGAAAAACCAGTAAATCCAAAACGGTTAATTTTACAGCTGTCAAAATGTGACATTATTCGGACATTGTTTTAACAAAAATAAGGTGTATGACATGTCTCAATCGTCTTTTGTTTTCCAGTAACCCGCCTCAACTTCTTATGGCCTCCATATCGGATTTTTTATTTTTTAAAAGAGTGTAAAATTCCCAGTCTAGTGATGTCTCACAAGTGCGTGAAAGATTGAAGTATCATCGAACTATAAACGATAATACCGACTTTTCAACAAGTCAAATGTTTTGGGACAAATTCCCAACTATGACTGTATTGTTTGTTGTCTGATTCACAAATGAAAATGGGATTCATCGCTAGAAAAACAATAGCGTTCTCAGGAACGACTTCGAGAAGACGCCCTCACACGAGAGTTGAAGTCACATTGAATGTTCCTGCACAATTGCCATCTTGCAATCTTTGAAAAATGAAGTTATGCTGCCGCACTCTTTATATTCTAGATTTAGTGAAAGTCGGTCTTCACAGATTATGTTTTTAGATACACATTCACAGTTCAACTGATGGCCTCAAGAAATATATACCACTGGAGATTTTGCCGCAGGATTTGGAGGAGAGGAGCTTTCATGCAAAGAACTCAATAGTAAGTGCACTTATAGTCGAAATATACTAAGTGACATATAAATCCGAACACCCAGTTTAAATGGTTTTATTTTAATAAAAGTTGTTGAATGTATTTATCTTACTGTAAATAACAAGTGAAAAAATGTTCAGCCTTATCAGTTGGACATTCCGGTTTTTATACTGCTTTCTTTTAATTCACTAACGCTATAAAAATGAATATTTCAGTCGCAGTAAAGAATCAACGTTGGCGGATTTTGGTTCTTGACATCCTTTACGATCGGTTACGATGCTTAGAGTACGGAGACCTGTACGATTTCGTCAACTTAGTGAGTTTGATAGGGGCCGTATAGTGGGACTTCGGGAAGCTGGACTTTCTTTTCGGGCAATTGCAGTTAGAGTGCAAAGAAGTGTAGACACTGTGGTTAGGTGTTGTCAGGCATGGCTTCGAGAAGGCCGTACGCAAAGAGCAAGGGGCACTGAACGCCGCCGTAGAACAACAGACCGTGAAGATCGCCGCCTAAGATTATTGGCCTTAAGGGACCGTTTCTCCACTACCAGGTCCATTGCAAATGAATGATTTGCAGAACACGGAAGACCTATTGGCATGCGAAGTGTTTACCGACGAATGAGAAGTTTTGGCTTGTTTTCATACCGGCCACACTGGGTCCTCCCTTTAACTCGAGAACACCGACGTAATCGCCTTGAGTGGTGCAGACAACGGTCAGTCTGGGATCACGAATGGAACAGTATTGTCTTTAGTGACGAGTCTCGATTTTGTTTAGGCATGCACGATGGTCGTGCCAGGGTTAGAAGGCGACGTGGTGAAAGGAGGAATCCACAGTTTTTTGTTGAAAGACATGTTCATCACACTGTTGGAGTTATGGTTTGGAGTTAGCTTATGGTTCCAGGTCACCTTTAATCTTCATCAGAGGTAACATGAACGCGCAGCGTTATATCCACGAAGTTCTAGAACCCCATCTTTTACCCTATCTTGACACCCTGGCAGATCCAACTTTCCAACAAGATAATGCCCGACCACATGTTGCAAGAGTCACAATAGACTTCTTTCAACATAATGATGTAACATTGTTACCATGGCCACCAAGATCTCCCGACTTATCCCCAATGGAGCACGTGTGGGATATGATGGGTAGGAGATTGCTCAATTTGCAAGGTCCTCCTCAGACTCTAGAAGCACTTCGAGAGGAGTTGGTGGTTGCCTGGAATGAGATACCACAGGAGGACATTGACCACCTGATCAGAAGCATGCCTAGGCGCGTTGGAGAATGCGTAGCACATCAGGGTGCATCCACACATTATTAAAGGTCAAAGGGCTCTAAAGCAGTGCAATCATTTTGAAATATTTATCATTTACGTATTATGCTTCATTAAGTACTTATACAAAATTTTATTAAAATAAAACCATTTAAACTGGGTGTTCGGATTTATATGTCACTTAGTATAGTTTCTTATCTACAAATTTTATGTGAATTTTTTTCATTAATGTAAGAAAGAACTGAAGCCAGCGTTATGGCTCTGTTACGACTCTGTTCTCGTGGAACGAAATGCGTAGAAACATCGCAGCAACATGCTCCGCAGCCTATAATAAGTGGTAGGAGTTCATTTTTAGGGACTGAATTTCGTTCAAATGGATAAGTAGCTCTCGAGGTGTGACTGTCTACCTTCTATCAAAGCAACAGACTAAAAAATTAAGCTTCTTGCAAGCTAAAAAATGATCGTTGCGATGACTAATCCCGCGTGAATGACGATATTGGTCTTCACCATGTGCAGTGCACACAACCCACAGCAGTGTGGAAGCGATAAATTGAAATATACCCTCCTGCATCGTCTGCAACTCTTGACGCCAATTTTAAACCCTAACAATTTTTTTTTCCAAAAATAATCAGGATGCTTTGAAACGTCAAAAAACAAAGTTTAAGCGATTTTTTTCGTATTAGGCCTTTTTCTCCGTCATCACTTGACCGATTTTCAAAAACTACAAAGTTTTTTCGTAGGGAGAGAAGTCTCAAGTTATAGGAAATGGGTGAAATGGTTTTTCGTGATGTACATGTCACATATCCAAAAAACATATATATCTCATATTCTAATTTTTCGCGATTACATTACTTCCTCGCCAATAGGCATGGGAAGTAAATGGAATCTGGAATACGTTAGCCCCATCTAGTCCTTATAATTAATACCTCACTATTGTCCATGCGCCTGAATGAATGAAATGTTTTGCAGTGTTGCCAGATAGAACGCTACGTTGCCAGTCTCATCACTTAATTTACAGACCTCGTACAAACACTGACCTTAAGCTCTGCAGACGTTGGTATGGTATAAATTAATATACTTTTTTCAGGTATGGTTTTGAAGAAACTGGAAGAGTACCAGGACAGATTTGATACCATCGACCAGCTCAAAGTAGATGAAAAATTGCGCCCTACCCCGCTTGTGAATGACGAAGTGCTGGGATTCCACGGCAACTTCAGAAAATTGAATGTTGACTGAGAGTGCGGATCAAAGTATTGAATGTTGTGACATGATATATTTTTTATTTCTATTCGTTTTAATACAAGATACTATTTTTAATAGTTGTGTTATTTTTTCATATATCACCTTACGAAAGTTTCGTTTATACAGGGTGTCCGCAAAGTTGGGGTTTTCCTTTACACGACGTGTAGATCTTGAAAACATAAGCAATTTTTCTTAGTACCATATACACCAATGTCTTAAGGGAACCGAGATAAAGGGCTCTGCAACATCAAAAATATCTGAATACCGTCCTGTAGCCGCGACCCGCGATATCACCGACTGGTACAAGGTCACTGGCTCAACCCGACGACAGAACTGGGTCGGGGTCAGTGTGTCAGGTCAGTATGCAACCTTCAACCGACGGTTACGGTCACGCGTGTAGAGGTAATCGCGTAGACGAGAATCATTCAACAAGCACTAGAGACGTGACTAGAGAAGTGCAAGTATCAAAAACTAAAGAGTGGCAAACGCTGCGTGAAGAGGGGCTGCATCCGTTTCACGTCCAACGTGTACAAGCCCTTCAACCTGACGATTTTCCAGCAAGAGTGCGGTTTTGTGAGTGGTTGTTGCATTAACATGACAATAATCTGGACTTTTTGAAGTGCATATTGGTGACAGACGAATCTACGTTAACGCGTAATGGGGTGAATAACTTTCGCAACACTCATGTTTATTCTCCCAAATCGATTGGACGGGATGCAATACCTAGACTTTTTACGCAACATTTTGCCTTCCTTGTTAGAAGATGTGCCATTAAGTGTAAGACAATCAATGTGGTTTCTGCGTCTGCTCGGTAGCGCATCAGCTGATTTCATTTTCTGTTGGAGCGGTATGATTTCGGGCAGAGACGTACTTAGCCCTTCTCGCCAACTGGAGAGTGAGTACTTTTTCCTTTATTTTTTTTACTTGGTCGCCCTCGTTTCACTACACATTACCTTTGTTATTTCAAGGGTAGTTGCTTCTGAAAAGGAAAACCCCAACTTTGCGGACTATTGCAGACTATTTATACTTCTCCTTTGTCATTAAGAATCAGTGGCGCTCCCAGGATTTCAGTCTGGGAGGGGTAAATGGAAAGTAAATTCTCAGTGTGACGTACTGAAGTGTCATAATAATTTCTTTAGTGGTACGGTAACAATTTATCCCAATTTAGTTGCAAAAACTACGCAATATTTACAGAAAAGCCCGTTTAGTTCCTCTGAATATGACAGCCAAGGAAATTTCTCAAAGTGTTTTTCTGATAAGTAACATTGCACTTCTTTATTATTTTTTAAGTGTGTGGAATAGGGATATTTGAAAGAGTCATTAGGGATTATTGTACACCTCAATAAGGTATACAGGGTGACTTCGAAGTTGAGTCATTTATTTTAACAGTGAGTAGATCTGATCAAAAGAAATGTTTTTTCCTTTACCATTTTTCTGGTAAAATTAAAGTAACAAAGTTGATTTGTCGCCTTTGGAAGTTTGAGTACCGCCCTGTCTCAATAATATTATGTGCTCGTGTTTGGCAACAACGAATATAATCCGCCTTATCGGTTCATCGCATCGGAAACAAAAAAGCGAAAGAATTTGGAACAATGTTTTTACAATTATTTTATTCAGTTGTATTTAATCGAGTGCAACCAACCCCTCGTGCCTTTGTTAATGTAGTACAAAGGGCTCGTGAATCAGGTGACTTAAGACCTCACAGGGGAGGGCATGACGGTGCTCCAAGACCGCACGATCAAATACAGGTCCGCACTGAAATACTTGTCGGGAGGATACTTTATAAAACAAGGTAAAATTTTTTTTTCAATTTTTTTTTTATTTTTGCACACATATTTTGGTTTATCTTCCTTCTACAATCATTATCTGAAAATTAATGACTCAACTTCAAAGTCACCCCGTATTTTTCATGGGAAGACAAGTTGCCGCTGAAATTTACATATGGCGCAACATCAACAAAATTGGATGCTTTAGGTTTCGCACCCGATTGTTCAACACTTGGTTCAGCATACGGTGCAACATCAAGAAATTTTGTAGTTGAATTGTAGGATTATCATCAGTTTTTTCCGGTAATTCTTGTGCTGGTGGATCAGACAGTTTGTTTTGTTTAGAAAGGAACCAATCGTTGGTATTCTGTTTCCTTTTACTCATCCTGACAACAGCAGCCGTCAACCAGCACTAAAAGTTACATAAATATTGTCAAATAAACGGCATTATTGATTTTGATGCAATCACGTATCTCATAACAAAGAACCTTTTCTGTTTGGATTCGATTACAATACTCCATCGCCAGTGGCGTGGAAAGTAAACTGGCGAATAATGAACTGTTGAGATCTAGCGGATCTTTGATATTGTAGCGTTTTTCTGGGTTCCTTTGGGTGTGGATTAAAGCACTGGATTCCACAAAAAGAAAAACACTAATTTATTTAACTTGATAGAACATTTATGTACACCACCATTTATGTCTGACTAATTCTTATGTCGCCAATGACTGCACTATACTCCACTCCGCTCTGCTCTGGTGTAATCACAGCCGACGTCAACTACGAGCCGTGATGAAAGAAAGGCAACACCGCGCTCGGACGGCATGGTAGTGCTCCGTGTAACGTTCAAGAACTAAATTTAATTTTGGAAAAGAAGACAGTTCGATTCGATACAAATCGTCTGAATATGAAATAGCTCTAAAAAATTTAAAAATACGAAATAATCGTGATATATGAGTCGCTAATACAGTTAACCTAATTAAAAGTATTTAGTTTACGTTTTTTGGTGTCAGCACACTGTGTTCCAACAGGCCCAGCTTGGAAATGTGGAGTTACCTGTTTGTTTTTAATACATTTACTTTCAGTTTTACTGTTATTTTTCAATTTTACATAATCATTCAAAATTATGTTTGAAAAAATAGACAAAAGCTTAGATAAAATATCTGCATAATTGCGGCCACAGATGCAAGTTAAAGAAAATTCTCTGTATATAAAGTCAGACTGAATACTAAGCAAGGTTAACTGACACAAAATAAATTTTTGATTATTGCTTTTCAAGAAGAAAATTTCCAATCTATCTACATTAATAATAGATTCAAAAATGGCATACATATGGTAGAATATGATTGGTACATAACTGGTTGGAATTGACAGTCCTCCTCTTTGCAAATGATCAAAATAAACATTTGTTGTTAATGAACCTTTTTCTTTAACTATTAGCGATTTGCATATCTCGCAGTTTAGGTTTTTAGAGATAGCGTGTGAAGCATATCCAGATATGTAAGTCTTAGTACTATCCTCTATGTCACAATTGGCTAAGTAATTTGTCTCAAATACTTCATTGAATATATCCAAAACTTCAGGATTTTGTTTGGTATCCAAGAAATCAAAATTTTCTTGAATTTCTAAGATGTTTTAGAACCTTGTTTTAATTTCTGCTAAAGAAAATGACGATTTCTTTTCATTGAAAATATGCTTCAGCCGTATTTTCTTTTCAGCATTTAAAATTTCATCATATGACACATTGTAATTGCAGCCACATAAAAGTCTATAATTGCCAATTCGTTTTTCTAAATTATCAGTGGTGAATTTTCCACTCAATGTCAAATTGATTAAATGAATATTCAATTATATTAAGTAGAGTCAGCGTGCTTTGATATAGAGCTGTATACGTTTCTGGTGTCAGGTGTCCATTATTATTCTCTAGATTATGCCATTTTTCTAACCATATCAGGAATTTTTTTAAAAATTGTACTCTATAATCATATTTATTGGTAATAGGCTTACAAAATTCGTTTCGCTTCAATTCTCCTTTTATTACACTTGTATTACTGACAATATCCCACCAATTCCTGATTATTTCCAAAAAGTGTGCAGCATCATTAAACTTTAATTCTTTCATAGCAGCTATTGTTGAGTGATGGAATAAATTATCTACAAAATTTACATTTTGCCTTTCAAATGAATTTGGATGCAATGTTTTATAATTTAATTTATATGCTTTCTTAACTACAGCTTCTTTTTCCAATTGATAAACAGCACGAATGTTTTCAAATTTAGCATACTGAATAATATCATTATTGTCAAAATTAGGATATACAAAAGTTTTGTCTAGGTTTTTTAAATTAATCCAATTATTTCTGATACTCTTGAAAATATGCACAACATCATAAGTTAAATATATGTTCTTATCAGGATTATGTGGATTTGGAATAGAATAATTTTCTGATGAATCCTTTGCTAATTTCCTGAACATTGCTCTATTACTTCGGTGATTATCAGTAACAACACAAATAACTTCAAATCCACATTTTTGAACTAAATTTATCTTTGATCTTATCCATATCATCTAAATTCTGGATAGCTTTTTCATGTTTCTCAATTAATTTTTGTTTTCTTTGCATTGGGTCAGTTCTTTTTGGTGCTTCAGTTTTTGAAAGATATGATGGCAAGTTTGGGAAAATGGAGGGAACAGCATTTTCTTTCAATTTTGGATATTTCAAAGGTATATTATTTTGGACTGTTCCATCCGCCAAAACTATATTTTTTGTCCTGATGATATCCGATTCTCTAAAATGACGACTGCAGACAGCTGAATATTTTGAAGGTTTAAAATTTTTTCTGGGAATTGCCATAAGCCATTTGTTTTTCAGACTTTCGGTACTTGGGAAGCGAAAAGTTGAAACATAGCTTTCTGTTTTCAAAGCAGAATTATAGTTTGCATTGCATAAAGGAACATAGCAACAACGAGGCATGTTGTCTGCGTCAAATACTTGATAAATGAAAAAAGAAAAATACAACCTGAATTTGCACGTTTTCAATAGTTGAAATCCTTAGCGTCCTGAGGCGCGAACAGCCACAGTCACACTTCTTAGTTTATTTTTAAAGCACAGAAGCACTACAACTGGAGTCTATTACTCATATATTATAGTCACCGATCGCTTTGAACACATACACACACTTTGAAGCTTAGAAAACAAGCTTATCTCTTAATTACAGTCTCTGGGATTCCAAAATCACAAATTGAAAAGGTTATGTTTTCTCAGCGTTTTGAGCACGAGTTGCGTCGATGCAGCAAGCAGCGGCGGGAGTAACACTACCACCTACGTTGCCAGATTTCTTTGTTCACGGCTCGTAGTTGACGTCGGCTGTGATAGAATCCACCGAAAAAATTATCTTAAGCAATAGATTTGTGTACAAACTATTTTGGAAGTAAGCTCTGAACCAATAAAGTAATTTTCACTATCCAAGATTGTCATAAAGGTAACTGAGAGCAAATTAAATTCTTCTTTTCCCTTAGCAATAAATAACTAAACAGGTATAATAATAAACACAGTTCGCCCAGGATACCTCTGTTGATAAAAAGAGAGCGTAATAAATTCGAGTTGTTATATATTTGGTTGTTCTCACGAATTGTTGTTTATGTTGGTGGTTTCCGTGGTGGAAAGTGTTCAAACGAGCACCCTGTATGATCTAACCACCATCATTTTGAAATTATATCATCTACGTCAAACGGCAAGGTGACACAGAAATTAATATTAAAGATCGACTCAGTTAAAGTTATGCCCTTGCATAATCTGTTGAAATAGCATCGGTAATATTTAAATCAGCTAACTTTCTTATTTCCCGTACCACTAAATAACCTTAGAGATATGCGAAATGCATGCAATTTCTGAATAACAATTGCACTCGATGCTAGAAAAGATTTTCGCTGGAGGTCAACAGGTACTGTTACTTTATCTCGGCGATTAAATGTTTAAAAAATCGGGTGGTCCGTGACTTTCTGCTCAACGCACGCTTTACTCTTGTTGAATCAGTGGCAAAATGAACGCGATAGTCAAGGACCGAGATGAGAGGCTTAAGATGGCACTTAGGTCTCAAGAAAAGACACTGGAGCAGCTGCAAGTAGATGTGAACATAATTAAGGAATGGTTGAAGAATCAGAAACATCTGCCAGAAATGCCACGTGAGTATATACAAACTTTTTAGTTCTTCTTAGGGCGTAATGGACCTATTTCTTGGCCTGCTCGCTCCCCGGATGCATTTTAACACTATGGTATAGAATTCGGCACCAGCCTTAATTTTATTGGTCAATTTCAATTTATTCAACCAATAACAAGCCGGGTGCCGAAATCACTACCGGAATGTTAAACAGTGCTGAGCATGGGGTCAGAATGTTATCAATTTAAATTTACTTACCTTCCGCTAAAAATACGTAAGATAATAATCAACGCACATTGTTTCCTATTACGATATTTAATGATTTTAAAATTAATAATTTGGTTTAGCAATAAGAAAAATTACATGAAAAATTTATATATATTTATACTAAGTGACATACAAATCCGAACACCCAGTTTAAATGGTTTTATTTTAATAAAATTTTGTATAAGTACTTAATGAAGTATAATAAGTAAATGATAAAAATTTCAAAATGATTGCACTGCTTTAAAGCCCTTTGACCTTTAATAATGTGTGGATGCACCCTGATGTGCTACGCATTCTCCAACGCGCCTAGGGATGCTTCTGATCAGGTGGTCAATGTCCTCCTGTGGTATCTCATTCCAGGCAACCACCAACTCCTCTCGAAGTGCTTCTAGAGTCTGAGGAGGACGTTGCAAATTGAGCAATCTCCTACCCATCATATCCCACACGTGCTTAATTGGGGATAAGTCGGGAGATCTTGGTGGCCATGGTAACAATGTGACATCATTATGTTGAAAGAAGTCTATTGTGACTCTTGCAACATGTGGTCGGGCATTATCTTTTTGGAAAGTTGGATCTGCCAGGGTGTCAAGATAGGGTAAAAGATGGGGTTCTAGAACTTCGTGGATATAACGCAGCGCGTTCATGTTACCTCTGATGAAGATTAAATGTGACCTGGAACCATAAGCTATAGCACCCCAAACCATAACTCCAACAGTGTGATGAACATGTCTTTCAACAAAAAACTGTGGATTCCTCCTTTCACCACGTCACCTTCTAGCCCTGGCACGACCATCGTGCATGCCTAAACAAAATCGAGACTCGTCACTAAAGACAATACTGTTCCATTCCTGATCCCAGAGTGACCGTTGTCTGCACCACTCAAGGCGATTACGTCAGTGTTCTCAAGTTAAAGGGAGGACCCAGTGTGGCCGGTATGAAAACAAGCCAAAACTTCTCATTCGTCGGTAAACACTTCGCATGCCAATATGTCTTCCGTGTTCTGTAAACCATTCATTTGCAATGGACCTGGTAGTGGAGAAACGGTCCCTTAAGGCCAATAATCTTAGGCGGCGATCTTCACGGTCTGTTGTTCTACGGCGGCGATCTTCACGGTCTGTTGTTCTACGGCGGCGCCCAGTGCCCCTTGCTCTTTGCGTACGGCCTTCTCGAAGCCATGCCTGATAACACCTAACCAGTGTCTACACTTCTTTGCACTCTAACTGCAATTGCCCGAAAAGAAAGTCCAGCTTCCCGAAGTCCCACTATACGGCCCCTATTAACCTCACTAAGTTGACGAAATCGTACAGGTCTCCGTTCTCTAGGCATCGTAACCGATCGTAAAGGATGTCAAGAACCGAAATCCGACAACGTTGATTCTTTACTGCGGCTGAAATATTCATTTTTAAAGCGTTAGTGAATTAAAAAAAAAGCAGTATAAAAACCGGAATGTCCAACTGATAAGGCTGAAAATTTTTTCACTTGTTATTTACAGTAAGATAAATACATTCACCAACTTGTATTAAAATAAAACCATTTAAACTGGGTGTTCGGATGTATATGTCACTTAGTATATACATATAGGTGAAAAATTAAAGCTTCCGCCTTTTGTTGGGTACTTCGACAAAATTTAAGCAAGGAGGACTCTTTATACTTTTTTTATTCTCTATAGCTTTCAATGGCCTTTGCCATCATCATCAGGAGAGTAGTATGTGAGGATGTTGCTAACTGTTGTTTACGTTAAGGATGAGGGAAACACCCAGTAACATGGTGAAAGCTGGATAAATGGTGGGCATGTGCAATCATCAAGTGGCTTCACGATGTAATGTTTAACTTTCAATTTCTAAAAAATTTTTTTATCTGTTTTTAACTTGTTCTTGTCATACAGCTGTGTGTATTTTATATAATTTAGACCATTGTACCATTTATCCAGCTTTCACCATGTTACTGGGTGTTTCCCTCATCCCTAACGTAAATAACAATTAGCAACATCCTCACATACTACTCTCCTGATGATGATGGCAAAGACCATTGAAAGCTAGAGAGAATAAAAAAAGTATAAAGAGTCCTCCTTGCTTAAATTTTGTCAAAGTACCCAACAAAAGGCGGAAGCTTTAATTTTTCACCTAACTGGTCTAGACGACAATATATATATTATATATATATATATATATACATATATTAGTAGAAGCAGTTTAAATTGATAGCATTCTGACACTGTTTTCAGCACTGTTTAACATTCCGGCAGTGATTTCGGCACCCAGCTTGTTATTGGTTAAATAAATTGAAATTGACCAATAAAATTAAGGCTGGTGCCGAATCCTATACCATAGTGTTAAAATGCTCCCCGGATTTAACGCCTTGCAATTTTTTTCTGTGCGGCTATTTGAAAGGGTTGGTGTATCATGATGAAAATTTTCAACAGCGCATTGAATAAGCTTGTAAAGAGTGTGGATTCGTCGAGCAAGATTTTGCGTTAATCGATCAAATGGGGACAAGTTTGAACAGTTTTTGAAAATACGGTATCCCATTTAACTTGATAATTATTTCTTAAATGATTTTTCATAATGTAAATTAACTGTCTTATTATGCAGCTTTTATATAGGTGATTCTGGGTATGTCAATCTCTTTTGACGAGTTCTAAAAGCAGTTAATAAATGACTTAACTTTGAAAACACCTAAATATTTAATTGATTCAACATTTTTAATTAGTTCACCATTTATCCCAACTGTAATAATATTTTCATTTAGGTATTTTGGCATTCAATTTTAGTCTAATTACACTTAACCAATTTATGATTTTTGTCAAGTCAAATTGCTGAATGTATTAACGCTTTCAGACGATCATATGATACAAAACTTCCTGCTTCTGAACAAATTCAGCATTGAAGCAACCAAGCAAAAGTTAGACATGTATTATACATTAAGAGGTGTTTTGCCTGAGGTGTTTGAAAATAAGCATCCCAATTTACCTCATATGCAACAGAATATGAAGGCAATGTAAGTATTTGTTCTGAATACTGACTGTGGAGGGTTTAAATCTCAGAACCCAGATCCAGTGAGTGGTTTTTTGAGATTTTTAGTGGAATGAGTTTAAGATACACTACTCAAAATAATCAAGGGCCAAGGAAAAAATTAAAAATTTTTAAGTGACTTTTGACAGGCTATATATCGATAAAAATGGTCGTATTTAGATTTTTTAAAAAGTATTTTTAAGGTTCAAGATTCCAGTTTTTAGTTTTATCGCCAAACATTTTGTCCTTCTTTTTAGCTCACGGACATGCATTTTTCTCCATGTTAGGTCATTATATGGATCAGGTAGTAATTTTATTCAGCTTCAAGTTTTAAAATCCCCATACGATCATTTGGCGCGGAGATAACTGAAAAAGAATCCTTTTGTCATCCACCACCGATATATCCCTCTAACCCTCTAACCAGTGGTCGCACAGAGTTTCCTCGGAAATGATTTAAAAAAAGTCAAGCATTCATTATACAAGGGAAAAAGTACTAGATTTAGATAAAAAACCGAAAGCTAAAATCTAGTATTTTTCCCGTGTATAATACACAATTTTTTCTGTAACGGAAAAAACGACGATTTAATATTGAAAAATTATATTATTACAATATTTATGTCAGAAAATTATCGATGTGACATTAGCAGGTTATGTTGTACTTATAGCGACAATTGGACCTGCGTTGCTAAGGAAACTTTTAAAGTAATCAAATAGCTGTCAATTTAAAGCATCTCACAAACCGGCGCGAAATATTCGCTTTGGCTGCGAAAATTTCGCGGCGATGAATTCGCGATCAGATTAAAACGCTGCGGTTTACGGACAGGCTCAGACTTGTGCGAAGCGAATGCGATTGTTCCAGCGTTTTTATCGCGGCGTATTTCAGTTCGCCTTTGACCGCGTTTTTGACGCCGTTCTTCAAAAATTCGCAATGGCAAAAACGGAATTATTGATAGAAATAGTGAAAAAGTATCCTTGTTTGTATGATTTGTCGAACGATGAATACAGGAATGTGAGAAAGAAAGACAAGATTTGGATGGAAATAGGAAAAGAATTAAATACAAATGGTATGTACCTAATATTTTTGATTAACTTGTTAAATAATTTACAGTCTACACAAATGTGAAAACGAACATTCTATATATTGGGCATAGGCATATCAGAATTAAAATAATTTACGAATTTGTCACGAGTAGAAAATGCTAGCCTTGCTGCCCGCCGAGGATCATTTGCTATATCAGTAAAAGCTCCAAGCACGGGTTCTGGGGGATCTAAGAATTGAAAATATTTATCATCGCCACTTTTACTTCGTAAAAAATTGTGTAAAACACATGCCGTACGTACAATTAGAATAGTAGTATCTACTTTAGTTTCTAATGGCCTGTAAAATATTCGCCATTTTTGAGACAAAATACCAAACGCATTTTCCACGACCCTTCTAGCTCGACAAAGTCTTACATTGTATTTCTCTTTTCTGACGTCTGTTAAAGTCTGCTTATAAGGAAATGGTTTCATAAGGTATGGTTTTAAACCAAATGCTTCATCACCAATTAAGACGTACGAGCAGATTTCATTTTGCCCAGGGAGAAATCTAGGTGCAGGGACACTCATTAAATTTTGTTCAAATCGTTTTCCCATGTTTGAGGTTTCGAAAATACCCCCATCACTATTTTTTCCAAAACCACCAATATCAACACATATAAATTTATAGTCCGGGCCAACAATGGCCATAAGTACTATTGAATATTTATGTAAATAGCACCAGTAATTGGAGCCACTGTTGTTAGGTCTCTTGATTGTTACATGTTTACCGTCCACGCTGCCAATGCAATTAGGAAATCCCCATCTATTTTCAAATTCTTCAGCACATTTTTTCCATATATTCTCTGTTGGTTCTGGTAAATATATATGCTCCATATGTCTGCATATCGCTTCACAGACTTCGGTTACGATTGCACTCACTGTTGTAAAGCCAACTCGAAAGCTATGCCCAATGGTAAAGAAGGTGTCACCAGTGGCAAGGAATCTATAAAAAAAATCGTTTTTAGGTGATGAAGTAAAAAAAAAAAGGTGGAAGAATATCAGAGACACATTTGCAAAATATATAAAATCTACCAAACCAAAGACCGGCCAAGCAGTGGGCAACATAAAGAAATGGCAGTGGGCTGACTACATGGAATTTTTCCATCCTTTTTTGGCATTTGCCAAAACGTCGTCTAATGTGAAAGATATTGACGTCATACATTATGAGACTGCCGAATGTAACTCAAATATATATCAGGAAAGGGCTGGAAATGTAGAAACCGAAAATTTGGAAGACCGCGGCCATGGAGAAGATGAAAATGCTGATGTAGATGCAGAAGATGCACAGAACGCCTCGGCAACACAGGCAGCACCACCTTCTTCATTGAACACTACAGCAGTGACTACTCCATGGCACACCTTTCCGCAGACTGCAACTACACCAAAATATAAAACGAGCAGAAAACGCTATGAACCACCATCTTCGTCTGTACAACAGCTCATTGATTATTTTGAAGGTAAAAAACCTAAAAAAGAGAACGAGGCCATTGATTCACTTTTCTTGGCACATGCACAGACTGTGAAAACACTTCCCTTAAAGCGTCAAGCCCGAATAAAACTAAAAATAGCCGAATTAATAGCTCACGAAGAATTTGAACATATTGAAGAAATGTCTTCAGCGTCTACCCAGAATTCTGCAAGTATGTATGATAGTAGTATGTCGTCCTTCCCAAGCGGCACTGGGTTTACTCCAATAATATACCCAACAGAGGAGGCAAATTCTGCCTCGAATTATTTAGCAACATTTAATCCTAGTGGCAACATGTAGTCCAATTATTACAATAAAATATTTATTTCACGATCCCTGAAGTTTTCGTATTCGATAAGCCTACTAATTTTAATACATATAATTTTTTTACCTAAGTGTAATAGCAAGTCGTTCTTCTGGCGAAATAGCTTCACGATAATTTGTGTCAGATTTTCGTATTTCATCTTTCACCAAGTTCAATATTTCATCGAAACACTCTGGAGTCATTCTAAAATATACGTAAAAGCGCTGTTCATCCGAAGTTGTGGCATCAAGGTATGGTATTCCCCAAATTTATTTCGTTCCAAGTTAATATCATGTACCCACTTCCTTCGTTTCCTAAACAAAATTGAAAATATTTGTTTTATGTACTTCTTTAAACTTAATACATACCCAACTATCAAATGGCGTTAAATAAACATAACTTACCGTGCATTTTGTTCCTCTTCTAAAGCAACAAATAGAAGTGCCTACTCTTCTTCTGAAGACGAGCTCATTGCAAAAGGCAAAAATAAAATGTACGCAACCTGTCGAAACCTTCACGTTCGCGGAGCGAATAAGACGCTTTGGTATGAATAAACAGGCGAAACAGATTGCGAATTTCGCTTTGAATTTCGTTGCGAATACTTCGCCGCGATTATTTCGCGCTGGTTTGTGGGATGCTTATGTTGTGATTTGATTTAAAAATTGTGAACTTGGGCCCGTTTATGGCCTCCTTGATTTTCATAGTTTCCTAATTTTCCGTGTCAGCGCTCTATTTTGAGGTTATGTCACAAATATCTATTTGCATCAAATTGTTCATGCTTTTGATTTATATCATGTTTTATCAGCCTGAAATTTCCTACAACTCAAAAAGAAAATATAACGCTGACGCTGACACGGAACAGGTGCAATCTAGAAATTTTGAAGGAAAGAAAAGACTATGACAATCAAGTAGGCCATAAAAGCGTCTTACAATTGTAGGAACGACTGACGATACTGCCCTTAGTGGTTGTTTAGAAGTTATTTTTAACTCTACAGAGTAAAAAATGTATGATTCCGAGATTTCTTTGACTCCATCGGAATTACTAGAAGTTGCCAAAGTAGCGTCACAAAAATTATTACCAGCTAAATCGCGGAAAATCTATGAAACAAAATCCGGGAAAAAAGGATTAATTTTTTTCCCGGGGAAAAAGTGCTTTCATAAAAAGTGACATTTTGTTACCTGTCAATAGAGATAAGATGTCAAAATCTTTTCCCGACACAGAAAAAAAGGTACTTTTTGCCTTATTTGGAAAAGCGACCGCATTTTCTGAGCTGCTAATGAGAAAGGTAATGTTTTTATTGGTCAAAATTTGAAGAAATCAAAGAAGCAAAATTTTTGTATCAAAACATCCTGTAATCTGGTTAAAAATGGTAAATATTTTTCTTCTGTTGTCACTTTTAGATACCTGTACCACCTTCAATACGGAAATACAAACTGTCAAAAATCATTGAAAAATTTGGATTTTTTCTTGCTTTTTTAATTTCTTTGTGCGTTGTACAAATTTTGTGCATTTTTTGAATCTCAAAGCCTGAAAAAGAAATGACGAGAACAGCGTCTACGAGGGATGTCTTTTAAGTTTTGCATATGGAAATAAAACAACACGGTAGGTAGTTTTAAATGACTTTATTGTTTTTCGAAGTATTCTCCACGAAGATTGCGCTCGAACCAATTTTCGAAGCACTTATTCCACTCGTTTGCTGGCAGATCCAAAACGGCATTTTTGAATGCGTCTACAACTTCTTCTGGTGACTTTAACCTTTGACCACGCAGTCTGTTTTTAATTTTCGGGAAAGTAAAGGAAATCGTTAGGACTTAGATCGGGACTATATGGAGGATGGTCCAATAATTCCACGTTTTCTTCCGTTAAATACTGCCTTGCTTTTAGTGCTGTGTGCGAGCTTGCATTGTCTTGGTGGAGGATGAGTCTTCTTTCGGGGTTGATTTTTCGAAGCTCGGTGATGACTTTTGGCAAAAAAATGGTGGTATACAATCCGCAGTAACAGTTCTTTGCTCATTAAGAGGAATTGTTGCTGTATGACCCGCTTTTGACACAAATGTCGCGACCACCTTTTTCGAAACACTTCGAGAACGGATGACTTTTGTTGGCTTTTCTTCACCTTGGAACACCCAAACAGCCGACTGTCGTTTATTTTCTGGTTCATAACACTGATCAACAGCCAAAAAATATCCTAAATAAAATCAACAAAATATTACTATTTTTAATGTGCTAAAACCGGAATGAAACTTATTTTTTCAATATTAGTTCAAGTTTTAGAGATACGGTAATTATATGTGTTCCTGCTGTGACAGTGTTAATATACTGTAATTCACAAGAATGCATGTGCTACATTTTTATATTCGGCAAGGAAAGATGATGTAATCGGCATGATTGTGTTACGTTATACATACGTGTACATTATATTGTTTTATATTAGCCATTTTTTCCTCAGTTGGCTGACAGCGTTCATGCAAGATGTCTCGAAAGTGTGTAAACAATCCAGATCAGTTTTGTTACGTGTGTGGTGATGTGACTTTGCGTCTCAGAGACGGTCTATTACTCCACTAATAACAAAGGCATATCAGCTTTATTTCGGTTGTAAACTAGGTGATCAAGACAAACAGTGGGCACCCCACATCTGCTGTAATACATGTGCTTCAAGTCTGAGGAGCTGGTTAAATGGCAAAAAACGGTCTATGCGCTTTGCTGTCCCAATGGTTTGGAGAGAGCCTACAAATCATATTAATGATTGTTACTTTTGCGTGGTACCTTGTGTTGGACAAGCCACAGGTATGTCCAAGAAAAAAAAATCGGTTATTAACTACCCAAACATACCATCTGCGATGAGACCTGTGCCTCACAGTGACGAAAATCCTATTCCAAAACCCCCAGGATCCTACACTTGCGAATCAGAAAACGAATCAGATCATGGCGATCGAGTGATTCGTCAGGAAGAAGATATGCCATCAACGTCAAGAGATCCTGATTTTATACCGAGCACGTCATGCCACCAACCGCACAAAATAACACAGTCAGAATTAAATGATCTTGTAAGAGATTTAGAACTTCCAAAATGTAAGGCAGAGTTACTTGGATCAAGACTGCAGCAGTGGAACTTGTTAGAAGACGATGTTTCGGTATGTGTTTTTCGTAAACGCCACAAAGACTTAGAACCATTTTTCAATATGGAGAATAACTTGGTTTTCTGCAGTAACATTAACGGCTTACTGGCGGCTTTAAATATAAACTATAACCCAGAAGAATGGAGATTGTTTATAGACAGTTCAACATTGAGTTTAAAGGCAGTATTATTGCATATTGGAAATATTTTACCATCTCTTCCTGTAGGGTATGCAGTTCACATGAAAGAATCATATGACAATATGAAGTACCTATTGACATGCATAAAATAAGATGAGCACCAATGGCATATTTGTGGCGATTTGAAAGTTGTTGCACTTTTACTTGGGCTGCAGCTAGGCTACACAAAGTTTTGCTGTTTTTTTGTGTGAATGGGACAGTCGGGCAAAGGCACTTCATTACACCAGACAAAACTGGCCTGTTCGTCAATTCCTAGAGCCAGGTCAAAAAACGTACAGCATATGCCATTAGTAGATTCGAAAAAAATTTATTACCACCACTGCATATCAAGTTGGGCCTAATGAAAAACTTTGTCAAGGCATTAGATAGAGATGGGTCAGCTTTTCAATACCTGCGTCAGAAATTTCCAAGACTAAGTGAGGCAAAAGTTAAAGAAGCTATTTTTGTTGGGCCACAGATTCGAAATATTTGAAAGATACACAGTTTGAAAACACTTTAACAGGTATTGAAAAAACTACTTGGAATGATTTCCGTCTGGTGGTCATTAATTTCTTGGGAAATAGAAAAGCTGGCAACTATAAAACCCTTGTCAAAAATATGCTGTCATCGTATCAAAAGATGGGCTGTAATATGTCTCTTAAGATACATTTCCTACACTCACATCTGGACTTTTTTCCTGACAATTGCGGAGCCGTAAGTGATGAGCACGGCGAACGTTTTCATCAGGATATTTCAACAATGGAAAAAAGGTACCAGGGAAAGTGGAATCCTTCCATGCTTGCAGACTACGGTTGGACTCTTGGTAGAGATGCTCCAGAAACGATCCACAAAAGAACAGCAAAAAGACAGCGCATATAGTGATTCTTATAAGTATATGAATCTTGTTACTTTTTTTAATATATCCTTAAAAATAAAAAGTTTTTTTTCTAAACCGCAACTAATTTTTTATTTCATTGTCATTTTTGGATTCAGCGCGCCAAAATTAACAAAGAACACACAAGATACAATTAAAAAACTAAAATTTGTTGTCCAGTGTAATTGTCTCTGAAAGTTGTAATAAATTATGGCGCGAAATGTTCTCGGTTGAGGTCCATTTTCCTAATGACTTGGTGACACTTAAAAATTGACTGTAGTGAGAACACTGCACGTATTGTTGTGAAACTTTGAATTTAAGTTTACTAAAGAGTGAGGTTAAGATTCAGGACTGACGTTCGATACGCGCGGCCTACTATGTTTCTATATGCAAAACTTAAAAGACATCCCTCGTAGTAAAATGGTCGAGTGAGCTAAGAGCCCCCAGCTCAAGCATTCCTGGACCTCCGCTTCTCCAAACTTAAGCGCTCATTTACTTGATTTTTCAGATACATCTTCATGCTCCCAAAGCTAACCGACGATGGTAACAGCATAGCTGTCATGAGAATCGCATCCGAAAATTCCAACATCCTCGAATTAGATCCGTACATGATCTTCGCCCATATGTACAACGTAGTAGAAGTCCGACTACATGAAGATGTCGCCTTGGGTGACATTTGCATCTACGATATGGCTTATTTTCCGATCCGGCAGATCGCCAGGTTGAATCCGGTGTTGATGAGAAAAGGAACCATTCCTTTAGAAGTATGTTACTGCTCGACTAGATTCAAGTTATGAACTCTTGGGATGTGGGCAAGATAAAATATTTATTAAAAATACGTTTCGGCGACTTGAACGGGGATCATGGAACAAAAATGTTCACACGAAGCCACTTGTACAGGATACGTATCAGATGTTACATACAAAAGGGATGTTAGGGTATATCTGAATCTTGTTTTTTATTCATAACACTGGTACCACTTCGTTTTTAACACGCTTTTATCAGCTTGGCCTGTATGTATGTATAGTTTATCTGAAGTCACTTGAAACACTGTGAAATACCGGGTGCGTTTTATATATCTATATTTAACACGCTCTGTTGCTGCAAAAATCGCCAAATTTCGCAGCAAATATCCCCCGTATAAGATCAAAGGCAGTTTCACCGGTCCCCGTGGAGTAAAGCACGCCTATGCGTGGACATAGCCAATGAGAAAGCGTGTATTTCGGAGCTCCTAACAAGTGCAGGTGGCTACTGAAAATTGAAACAGTTTAGCCAGTGCCGTGTAGCGGTGAATAAACGTGTTTTCTTTAGTCTGTCCGTGTTTTTTCATAGATTTTATTAGTTAGTGTGTTTTTGACTTTTGAATACTCAGTTTACTTGTTGATTTAATTGTTGTGTTGATTGTTCTTGTGTGTCCTAAATATGGCTCTTTGGAGACCTTGGGAAAATGCTCCATGCCACGAGGAGATGGTTGATGAACCTGTGCAGGCAGAACTCTTTCATAAAGATTTAGAGGAACAGACCCAAAGAGTAATCCTAAATATGTATGATTGTCTGAAAAACGAAAATCCAGATTCCTCGCAAAATCAAATTTTAAACAGAATTTGTATCCTGACAAAAATCAGTCGGTCTACCATTTATCGGGTTATAAAAAGGGGAGATGTAGTCAACCATTCCTTCCACAGAAAGCGCATAGGGCAAAAATTAAAAAGAATAGACGTGGGTTTTCAGGAAGATATTCGTCGTATAATATACGGATTTTATAAAGAAAATTTGGTGCCCACGTTGGAAATGATACGGGATAAATTAAAAGTTTATCCTGAAGATTTTTATAATTACAAATGCTTAGACTCACTGCACTGTATTGTAAAACTGTGTGGTTTTCAATACAAAAAATTAGATAAAAGAATGGTGATTATGGAGTCGTCTCGAATCGTTGAATTGCGCCGCCAAGAATTTTTGCACAAAGTTAAAATCTATAGAGAGCAGAAAAGAAATCTGATTTACCTGGATGAAACGTGGTATGATACCCATGATGTTATGCAGTACGGCTGGGTTGACGACAGCAACAAGTGCATTTTAAATGCACCATGCAACCGTGGAAAACGAATCATTATTCTCCATGCTGGCAGTGAAAATGGATTTATACCTAATGCCTTGCTGTTATCTATCAAAAATATCAAAGAATCATGTGCCGACTATCATGAGGACATGACCTCCGACTTATTTGAAAAGTGGATAGAGCAGCAGTTAATACCAAACATTTCCCCAAATTCAGTGATTATTATGGACAATGCGCCATACCATTCCCGACAGAAAAACAAAATGCCGAATACAGGCACAAAAAAACAAGACATTATTGATTTTATGAAGGATAAGGGAATGGAAATACCACAAAAATCAACCAAAGCCATATTATTGGATCTTATTAAAAGACAAAAATTTGAAAAAAGAGTATGTTGTTGACAATCTGCTTCAGCAAAATGGCCATGAAGTATTACGTCTACCTCCCTATTACTGCATTTTTAACCCGATTGAGTTGGTCTGGGCTGCTTTAAAAAAAAAGTAAGAAAACATAATCAGACCCCTCAATTAAGTGAATCGCTATTGGCCACAATAAGAGATGCAGTATCTCATATTGCTGCCACAGACTTATGGAAGCAGTGTTCTAGGCATATTATTGAAAAAGAAAATGAATATTGTGTTTTGCCTCCTGTAAATCCCGTTGTAATTCCTCTACAAGATGACTCTAGCGACAGCTCCGAAGGCGAGGATGATATATAAATACCTATAATGTAAGTCTTTATATACCTTTTTATATACCTACCTGCTATGTAAATATTTGCCTATGTCAAACGTTGGAATTCTGTAATTTTTCCATTTCTTAACTTTCAGTCAACATAAATTAAACTCCCAATATAAGTATGTTTTATCCCAAATCAAAAAAATAAGAAGATAGTAAAATCCATTTATTGTGATATAAAAACATGATTATTATCGTTCTAAATAAATGACCGCACGCCTATGATACGTCATGAAATTACAAAGGACGCGCCGACCAAAGGTTTTTATGCTATTTCAAGTGACTTCAGATATACCATACATTCAAATCCTTGTGGAGAATGCGGAGCAAACTGGTTCTCGAAATGCCCAATTCTTGGGATCGACGCGTTGTTGATTGTTTCGGATCGTCTCTCACACTCTCCTTCACAACAGCGATATTTTCCGGCCAGAGCCTGGCAGATTTGCCACAGAACCTGTTGCCTCAAATTTACGCACCAGACGACCGATGGTTGTTTCGTTTGGGCGGTTGTAGTGACCGAAATGTTCACGAAGCCCGCGAAACGTGTTTTTTATTTTTGCACCATTTTTGTAGTGCTCTTGAATAACCTTAACGCGGTTTTCAATCGAATACGACTCCATAGCGATCAATGGTAAACATTCAACTAACAAAATGACATGTCGGTGACAGAAAACAAAGATGGCGTCTATGTCAAATTGAAGTTTACTTTCCTGCGTCCCTATTGGACAACCCTTTATAAAGAACAAAGAAGTTTTAAATGAAAGCCTTCTTCGAGAGGCTTCTTTTGTGATTTCAAAAGAAAGAGGTCTGGGAAAACGTTTATAAGGATTTGTCACAAATAACCTTTTAGTGTTTGATATGGCATACACATAATAACAAACGCATCGAGTATTTGATATTTTTTGAAATTTCAGAAAATATATAGTTCCAGAGTAAAAGCAATCCACATCCTACATGCACCAGGATATGCGGAACCTCTGATAAAATTGATAAAGCAACTATTGAATCCAAAGTTGGCAGAAAGGGTAAGTGATATCCCATGAGTTGCTAATTGCAATACTGATGTGTAATATTTTTAGATTCACATTCATGATTCGGTAGATGGTCTCAAGAAATTTTTGCCGAATAACGTCTTACCAAAGGATTATGGAGGTGACTTACCACCTCTACAAGAAATCAATGGTGGGTATGAATGTTACCAGTTCTTTTTCATTACTTAACTTTTCTGTGATGTGGCTGGATTACACCCAACGCGGGTGTGGTACTGATTTAAGGTATTGCTTCTCAAAGTTTTTGAGAACGCCACAAAAGAGGAAACTTGTAATGTATAAGTTTGAACATAACCTCTCTTCAGAAAGGACAACACAAATAACCCGTCTGGCACAGCTAATAGATTTATTTGATGGGCAGCATATTCAGTAATAGTTTCATCACATAGCAAATATCACTGTTTTTATACACATGCAGACTAATACTCAAAATCATCCAGATGTGATCTTGCTAGTCAACCACACATCTTCTCAGAGTATACTCTACATACCATCCCTGCATTCTGCAACCAACAAAGCATGTGGGCGTATCGTTCAGTCATTCCTCCATAGATGGCGCTTTTGATGACGCTCACAGCGCCCGTAGCGAGCAAACGCGGAATGTACTATTGGTTGACATTTGTCGGCTTCTTTTTTGACGTTTTATAGGTTTTTTACGTAATAATCTTGCGGTTTTTTTCTGTAACCTTTCCATGCGAAAATAGCGCGTTCCAATACCGTAGTATAACTAAGTGACATATAAAATGCAACACCCAGCATTATTTATCGAATTTTGATGAAAACTCGTCAACATATTTGCTATCATGGGATATCTCTGCTATTCTGCAAAATTTCGAGTTAAAATTTTAGTCTCTTTCTATTTATCAGAAGACCTAAAACTTGTAAAAGCATGCTCAAAATTGCAGCACTCCTAGTCGGTATTGCATTTTCTACCTCATTTACTAATTTATCGACGATACTCGAATCCACAACCAGTGATCCACATCGACGAATTTTGAATTTGTGCACAGACACAATGAATGTGACAGCGATTAGAAAAATAGTAGCAGAAAAATCTGCCATTTTATTGTTTATCATTTTTTTTAGAATCGTGGATGAAAGCCTTTGAAAAGTACTCGGATAGGTTTGATACGATTGCAAAACTGAAGGTGAACGAGCAACTGAGGCCTGAACCGCTAGTAAACGACGACATACTGGGCGTGTATGGCAATTTCAAGAAACTGAACGTCGACTGAATGGAACAAAACCAATTTGTATGAAAATATATACATCTAGCAAATTAGACAGACTTTAAATGTTCGTTATACTCAACATCCTTACTCTCCTGCGGAGACACGTTACACTTTGTTATCGTTTGTTACATATAGTCGAAGTCACGAAATATCACGATTACGTCATCATTTTAGTCTGTAGCAAAGACTAACGACAACGATATGTGAATATTTTTAATGAAGTTTCAAATATGTTAGAAAGAGACAAACAGAATTTTATTGTCTAAACAAACTGTATTGCTAAGTCGCATGTATCCGATAAAGATAGACGATGTTTTCATGTTGCATGATCGATCATATTTGAAAAATGAATAGTTAGGTTATGTTAAAGCAAGTTAGGTTGTTTTCGAATAATACTTTGGTCTTTGGTGTTCCTGTCTTAAGGTATTCTATACCTAACTGTCTTTTTTCAAAACAAAAATTATCACTGATCAACAGCCAAAAATATCCTAAATAAAATCAACAAAATATTACTATTTTTAATGTGCTAAAACCGGAATGAAACTTATTTTTTCAATATTAGTTCAAGTTTTAGAGATACGGTAATTATATGTGTTCCTGCTGTGACAGTGTTAATATACTGTAATTCATAAGAATGCACGTGCTACATTTTTATATTCGTCAAGGAAAGATGGTGTAATCGGCATGATTGTCTTACGTTATACATACGTGTACATTATATTGTTTTATATTAGCCATTTTTTCCTCAGTTGGCTGACAGCGTTCATGCAAGATGTCTCGAAAGTGTGTAAACAATCCAGATCAGTTTTGTTACGTGTGTGGTGATGTGACTTTGCGTCTCAGAGACGGTCTATTACTCCACTAATAACAAAGGCATATCAGCTTTATTTCGGTTGTAAACTAGGTGATCAAGACAAACAGTGGGCACCCCACATCTGCCGTAATACATGTGCTTCAAGTCTGAGGAGCTGGTTAAATGGCAAAAAACGGTCTATGCGCTTTGCTGTCCCAATGGTTTGGAGAGAGCCTACAAATCATATTAATGATTGTTACTTTTGCATGGTACCTTGTGTTGGACAAGCCACAGGTATGTCCAAGAAAAAAAATCGGTTATTAACTACCCAAACATACCATCTGCGATGAGACCTGTGCCTCACAGTGACGAAAATCCTATTCCAAAACCCCCAGAATGCTACACTTGCGAATCAGAAAACGAATCAGATCATGGCGATCGAGTGATTCGTCAGGAAGAAGATATGCCATCAACGTCAAGAGATCCTGATTTTATACCGAGCACGTCATGCCACCAACCGCACAAAATAACACAGTCAGAATTAAATGATCTTGTAAGAGATTTAGAACTTCCAAAATGTAAGGCAGAGTTACTTGGATCAAGACTGCAGCAGTGGAACTTGTTAGAAGACGATGTTTCGGTATGTGTTTTTCGTAAACGCCACAAAGACTTAGAACCATTTTTCAATATGGAGAATAACTTGGTTTTCTGCAGTAACAACGGCTTACTGGCGGCTTTAAATATAAACTATAACCCAGAAGAATGGAGATTGTTTATAGACAGTTCAACATTGAGTTTAAAGGCAGTGTTATTGCATATTGGAAATATTTTACCATCTCTTCCTGTACGGTATGCAGTTCACATGAACGAATCATATGACAATATGAAGTACCTATTGACATGCATAAAATACGATGAGCACCAATGGCATATTTGTGGCGATTTGAAAGTTGTTGTACTTTTACTTGGGCTGCAGCTAGGCTACACAGAGTTTTGCTGTTTTTTGTGTGAATGGGACAGTCGGGCAAAGGCACTTCATTACACCAGACAAAACTGGCCTGTTCGTCAATTCCTAGAGCCAGGTCAAAAAAATGTACAGCATATGCCATTAGTAGATTCGAAAAAAAATTTATTACCACCACTGCATATCAAGTTGGGCCTAATGAAAAACTTTGTCAAGGTATTAGATAGAGATGGGTCAGCTTTTCAATACCTGCGTCAGAAATTTCCAAGACTAAGCGAGGCAAAGGTTAAAGAAGGTATTTTTGTTGGGCCACAGATTCGAAATATTTTGAAAGATACACAGTTTGAAAACACTTTAACAGGTATTGAAAAAATTGCTTGGAATGATTTCTGTCTGGTGGTCACTAATTTCTTGGGAAATAGAAAAGCTGACAACTATAAAACCCTTGTCAAAAATATGCTGTCATCGTATCAAAAGATGGGCTGTAATATGTCTCTTAAGATACATTTCCTACACTCACACCTGGACTTTTTTCCTGACAATTGCGGAGCCGTAAGTGATGAGCACGGCGAACGTTTTCATCAGAATATTTCAACAATGGAAAAAAGGTACCAGGGAAAGTGGAATCCTTCCATGCTTGCAGACTACTGTTAGATTCTTGGTAGAGATGCTCCAGAAACGATCCATAAAAGAACAGCAAAAGGATAACGCATATAGTGATTTTTATAAGTATATGAATCTTGTTACTTTTTTAATATATCCTTAAAAATAAAAAGTTTTTTTCTAAACCGCAACTATTTTTTTTATTTCATTGTCATTTTTGGATTCAGCGCCCCAAAATTAACAAAGAAGTACACTTTTCCCACAAGATACAATTAAAAAACTAAAATTTGTTGTCCAGTGATTATTAAGGTATCACTCCAAACCATCGTGATTTTATCATCGACGTACGTCCATTGATTACGTCAGTACGATTTATGGTATGAAGTAATAGTCATCTTCGTGATTTTGACTATACAGCAGCGTTGAAAACAAAATTCCAAATTACGTTTCGCCAACTATATCCTTTGTTATATATGTAGATCCTACAAATTACGCTTGATAAACGGTCCGATAAGAAAACCGAAACTTTTGGAAAAGTGGCGATTTATTTTTCAACTAGTCTTAGCCCGATCCCCTTGACACAGAAATGGTCTCTGGAAAGTAGGCCTCCGTGGCGGCGATAACCTCGTAATTCGACTCAAATTTCTGCTCGGCGAGAGACTTTTTCAAGTTTAGAAACAACAGTTTTGTCACAAAATATGTATCGAATTTTTCTTAATGAAGAAATCTATTTAAACACTAAATAGTTAATAATATCGTTCCAATGCATCAATTGATTGAAATTAACGATTTTTTGCAATATCTTTAGCAGGAACGACAATAACAATGCCAAACACGTCAATTTTTAGGTTACATAGTGCTATTTCCTACTAATTTTTCTAGTTTCTCTTGGTCGGCACCGAGAGAAATCGCGACTCCCTAAAGTGAATTCATTTCTATCACTTTTCGGTAGAATTGATTTCAAGAATACTGCATTTCTTGGCCACACCCACTTTTTGCCACTTTATCTCACAGTTTCTACTCTCTCAAACACAAGAATAGAGGTCCTGGACGGGATTCAGATCAGTTTCTCTCAGTTTTTCGTAAATTCGCCTCCTTCAAGCAAACTAAAGCAATTTGGAAAGGCAGTTATCAATATATAGCTCTAACTATTGTGACGTTGGCGCTATCTGTTGGGAGACTTTCCTACACGCCAGACCTTCATGGCGGACCACGACCGCACAAGCCGCTTGGCGACATCTGTTGAGGACCGTACCAGTGACTTGCCTTCTAGATCGACGCGAAGTGACCTCGAATATTCTAGATGCCGCTTTGTGGCTCGCCAGACCTTTCTCGAGTCAGCGATGGGGACTATATAGATCCGCGGCCGGGAGATGGAAGCAGAGTACAGAGTACGGTAGAGTAGAGCTGAGTGAAGTATAGTCCAGTCAATGGCGCGACATAAGAATTAGTCAGACATAAATAGTAGTGTACATAAATGTTCTATCTAGTCAAGATAAATAAATTAGTGCCTTTCTTTTTGTGAAATCCACACCCAAAAGAACCCAGAAAAACGCTACACTATTTAAAGCTTCACCCCTCACTCTTCCTACAAAAGGTTGGGATAAACCCTGTTAGAAATTGCGCACCCGACAAGGATCTTATCTTCAATAATGTCGCTTTATGTTTGTATCTAACATTGTTAGGGCATGCCTCTACGTTATCCGTATAAAATCCGTCGTTTCCCTTCATTTCAGAATAACTCAAAGTGAAATACTTTACGCCTTTGGGGCACTTAAGTCTCTTACGATATTTAAAACCATTCCTCAATTCCTTGTTGACATTCCAACATGATTTTTTGCTCTTCTCACCAATCTGGCTGACCTCTGAGCAGTAAATGCATGTGGTCTTTCCACTTTTTGGGAGATTCAGGCATGGTATTCCCTGCTAGCATGTTTTTATTCTGGAACATTCGACAGATTTCAGCATTGGGTACCCACCCAACCAACTTGTTGAAACTTTTTCTCATTTCTAATTTATACATCTTAAAGCGAAAACAAATAGATGTCTACTGACAGTAAAATTAGTACACAAACTTCTGTTTCTAAAGGCGACTTGACATTATTGTGACAAGAATAAATAGTACCGTTCGCGCCATCTGCTGGTAGACTCTCCTACTCGCCAGAGCTGCATGGCCGATCTCTGTTTTTACGCGGATCACGACCGCACATGCCGCTTGGCGACATTTGTGAGGACCGTACCAGTGACTCGCCTTCTAGATCGACGCGAAGCGACCTCGACGATTCTGGAAGGCCGCTATGTGGCTCCCGGGATTCTTCTCGAATCAACGATGCGGACTACATAACTCGACGGCCGGTAGAGTACAGTAGAATAGAGCAGAGTGGAGTATAGTTCAGTCAATGGCGCGGCATAAGAATTAGACATAAATAGTGGTGTACATAAATGTTCTATCCACACCCAAAAGAACCCAGAAAAACGTTACACTATTTAAAGCTTCACCCCTCACTCTTCCTACAAAAGGTTGGGATAAACCCTGTTAGAAATTGCGCACCCGACAAGGATGTTATCTTCAATAATGTCGCTTTAAGTTTGTATCTAACATTGTTAGGGCATGCCTCTACGTTATCCGTATAAAATCCGTCGTTTCCCTTCATTTCAGAATTACTCAAAGTGAAATACTTTGCGCCTGAGAATATTTGGGGCACTTAAGTCTCTTACGATATTTAAGACCATTCCTCATCAATTCCTTGTTGACATTCCAACATGATTTTTTGCCGTTCTTACCAATCTGGCTGACCTCTGTGCAGTAAATGCACGTGATCTTACACTTTTTGGGAGATTTAGGCATGGTATTCCCTGCTCGCATGTTTTTATTCTGGAACATTCGACAGATTTCAGCTTTACGTACCCACCCAACCAACTTGTCGATACTTTTTCTTATTTCTAATTCATACATCTTAAACCGAAAACTTATATAAAATACATAGATGTCAACTGACAGTAAAATAAGTAAACAAACTTTTGTTTCCAAAGGCAACTTGATATTATTGTGACATGAATAAATAGTACCGTTGGCGCCATCTGTTGGGAGACTCTCCTACTCGCCAGAGCTGCATGGCCGATCTCTGTTTTTACGCGGATCACGACCGCACACGCCGCTTGGCGCCATCTGTGAGGACCGTACCAGTGACTCGCCTTCTAGATCGACGCGAAGCGACCTCGACGATTCTGGAAGGCCGCTATGTGGCTCCCGGGATTCTTCTCGAATCAACGATGCGGACTACATAACTCGACGGCCGGTAGAGGGAAGCAGAGTACAGTAGAATAGAGCAGAGGGGAGTATAGTTCAGTTAATGGCACGGCATAAGAATTAGACATAAATAGTGGTGTATCCACACCCAAATGAACCCAGAAAAACGTTACATTATTTTGTTAAAATTAAAGCCAATGAATTTTGTGCTAAAACTTTTAAGACCTACGTTATAAGTAGTTTTTGAGAAAGTTAGATCATTCAAAATTTATGCTGCTTGCTTTCGCTGACTATTTATTTTCCATGTTAATCTAAACATCGTTCTAATAATCCGTAAAACAACCATTACAAATAACATTATACTATACATCTCTTTATTTTCCATAATGACCAGTGCTAATCATGAAACAAATATCGAATATGCCAAATATCCGTAACAACAGAAACTGTACTACTCCTAACATTATATAACTGCTTAGCATATTAACACGGAACACTGAAAAATGGCCAGCGTTGAAGAGAGTAAGGAAAAGACTTTGCAAATAGCCTTAAACGATTTAGGGCGCAGTGAAAATGACCTACAAGCCGAATTAGATTCGTTGAAGGAGTGGTTCAAAACTCAAAAGCACTTGCCTGAGATACCTGGTAAGTAAAAAGATGAAGCCAAGTAGAACTGAAAACGTATTAAAGATTTTTTTCACTACGCCGTAAAGCAATGTTGAAGTAATTACTGGAGAAACAAATCGAATTTTGTTGATTTGAGATCAGATTTATTTCATCACGCCGATTTGTTCCAGATGATCACATATTGATAAACCAAATTTTGTCAAACAAATTCCATATGGAAAAAACCAAGAAAAAAATTGACACTTACTACACGATTAGATCGATATTGCCGGAAATATTTGAGAACAGCAACCCGAATCGACCAAGCATGAAGAGCGTCCTCAAACAAATGTAAGTAAAACATTCTGTTTTTATATTCTACAGAGAAATCCAAATATTACCTACGAGACAGTGATGTGCGCATTGTATACACCATTGTATAACGCGTTTACAATGGTGAATAGATACGTCTCGAAATTCACGTATAAAATGTATACAATTGCAAATCATTTTTTCCATGTGTACGACGAAGAGATAGAGGGGACAAGCGGGCACCACTTGTGTAGAAAGTGTGCGCCACACACATAGGGATGGCAACGATACATCGATGTATCGAAAACATCGATACATCGGACGTATAACATCGATGCTTAGGCATCGATGGTTTTATGTCTCTATGTATCGACATCGAAAGGATCATAAACATCGGTATACCTGGAGTATATCCTTAACTGTGCTACCATCTCTAAGCGAGGACTGGTAGCTTCTAAATTGAAAGTCCAAAAAGCTGTTTAGTAGTAACTCTATAATATTATCATTACAGCCGTGAAATGGACTGTATGTAGTCTTTTCTTTATTCTGTACTTCCCAAGGGATATAATAAAATAAACTGAATACAGCGCATTTACGCATTTAATGATTTCGGGTTCTTTTGATTATTTTATTGTATGTAGTTGTAGTGTCGCTGTCAACTTGTGCACAGTGTGAAGTATTTAATGATCATCAATGTGTTTTAATTTTGACAATCTCATATTTTCAGTTTCCTATAATCATACTTTTTTACTGAAATATATTGCAGTCGGTATCCTTCTTTTATCCTACCGTGAAGTTAATGTCACATTTTTTATTCTTACTTAATGATTCTGACATGACATCGAGAAAAAAACGCGGTAGGAATTCCACCAACGGATAAAATGACCATACCGCTAAAACCGATAGCAGTCCATGAATTCGTTGCTGAATTGAAAGCAGAAAACGTTAAAAAGAAGAGTTGTTTCGATACATCGATGTATCGATGTATTCGTTCCGATGTTACGATGGCGATGTCCAAACATCGATGTTTTCTAACAAATTGCCATCCCTACACACACCACGTTGTGTGGCACAACAGTGATGAAGGCCACAGATGGCGATGTCCAAACATCGATGTTTTCTAACAAATTGCCATCCCTACACACACCACGTTGCCTGGCGCAACAGTGATGCAAGGCCACAGAACACAGCTGTAACTTGCTGCAACGCCTTGTTTTATACGCTCAAATACACATTTCTGTCGAATCTGTTTGGGATCAATTCCAGATCGATCTCAATCGTTCTCCGATTTTAGGTAGAACTGAAAGTTCAGGATAGATACAAATTCTGCAACATTGCATTATCGGTTTGACTGTAAAAGCAGTTTATAAATAATGAAAAGATATATATTTATTTATACAGGGTGTTTCAGTTTATTGTTGCATAACTTTAAGATTCGATAGAACTTTTAAAATTAATGTATAAAGTCTATATAAACATGGGTCGAAAAATGCGTGGCTTCCGAAATACAGGGTGTTTAAATTTACTTTCTAAAATAGTTTTATTTAATATCTCGAACAATATTTGATGTATAACAGTGAAAATTGATATACAAGGGTAATTACTTGTAATGCCCAAATCGAAAATGTAAAAAAAATATTATTTTCCCATAAATAATTAAAAATGCATCGAACCTTAAAAATCGAAATATCTCAAAAACGGCTAACTATAACGAAAACTCACAAGAGAGCTTTTTTATGTTAAAAAGTGCGAAGAATCAGTTTCTTCATTCAAAAGCAAAAAATTGAACTAAGAAAAAATTTTCGGTCATTTTAATACACTACATTCACAGTAGAGAGCGCCCTCTAGCGGCTACAGTAATACCATGGTTCGTTTTGTCGTACCAAAAAACCCTTGTATACCAATTTTCACTGTTATACATCAAATATTGTTCGAAATATTTAAAAAAAACTATTTTAGAAAGTAAATTTAAACACCCTGTATTTCGGAAGCCACGCATTTTTCGACCCTTGTTTATATAGACTTTATGCATTAATTTTAAAAGTTCTATCGAATCTTCTTAAAGTTATGCAACAATAAACTGAAACACCCTGTATACGTATACAAAGATAGTCTTAAATAAACTAAGAACCCTAGTTCATCGATTTCTTTGTTCTTGGAGCTTCGAACCATATTTATTTTTAGGTTGTCGGTTCACTGTCTACCAACCTCACTTATGCTATCATATGCATTGTCTTCATCATTGTATTCATTGTCTACGCAATGCATACATTGTATTCATTGTATACGTATACGCATTGTATACATCGAGACGTAGACAATTAATGTATTGTAGCGTTTTTCTGGCTTCTTTTGGGTGTGGATTAAAACACTGGATTCCACATAAAGAAACGCACTGATTTATTTAACTTGATATATATACACCACTCTCTGACTAATTCTTATGTCGCCATTGACTGCACTATACTCCACTCCGCTCTGTTACTCTACCGTATTCAGTACTCTGCCTCCATCTCCCGGCCGCCGTGTTATATATAGTCCCAATTGCTGCTTCGAGAAAGGCCGGGTGTACCACAAAGCGAAATCTAGAATATTGGAGATCACTTAGCGTCGATCTAGAAGGCGATCCACTGTCACTGTCCTCACAGACGCCGCCAAGCGGCTTGTGCGATCGTGGTTCGCGTAGAAGCAGAGATCGGCCATTAAGCTCTGGCGAGTAGGAGACTCGCCCAACAGATGGCGCTATTTGTCACAGTATACACGTAAACGCCCATCACTGCTACGAGATAATGCGTACAACAGAGAAACGCGAGAAGCTTGCAATTTGTATGTTGGAAACAGTCAGAGATAAACCCTGGAAACAGTGAACCGATGGCAAAGCGGCAAGCCGCACCTGCGCCTGTAGCCTCGCCTCTCGGGTATATGGATTTCTCTGTATGTTGTGTAAAAAAATAAATATATGAGACTCAAGTAGCGTTAACATATTGCAACAAACTTGGATGATAACTTTCTATTGATTTTTTTAAATATTTAGCCTAAGTCACTCTCTTCTGAAAGCGCTCAATATGGAGTGTAGAGTGTATTGTGAAAGTTTTTTATCCTCGACTGTCGCGCTAGTACCACTTTAACCATTATTTAAGGTATCAGGTAACCAAATAAGTGCGTGCGGTTGCTGTATATCGCACATTGCCATGGATGTTGTTGATCGATAGCGATTGTTTGTTACCTGTTGTCATTTCAGTATGAATCCTTCTTTTCTGACACAAATAAAAAGTTGCTGAAAATTGTTACATACCTAGTTTTAATAACACTGATCAACAGCTAAAAAATATCCTAAATAAAATCAACAAAATATTACTATTTTTAATGTGCTAAAACCGGAATGAAACTTATTTTTTCAATATTAGTTCAAGTTTTAGAGATACGGTAATTATATGTGTTCCTGCTGTGACAGTGTTAATATACTGTAATTCACAAGAATGCACGTGCTACATTTTTATATTCGGCAAGGAAAGATGATGTAATCGGCATGATTGTGTTACGTTATACATACATGTACATTATATTGTTTTATATTAGCCATTTTTTCCTCAGTTGGCTGACAGCGTTCATGCAAGAAGTCTCGAAAGTGTGTAAACAATCCAGATCAGTTTTGTTACGTGTGTGGTGATGTGACTTTTGCGTCTCAGAGACGGTCTATTACTCCACTAATAACAAAGGCATATCAGCTTTATTTCGGTTGTAAACTGGGTGATTAAAACAAACAGTGGGCACCCCACATCTGCTGTAATACATGTGCTTCAAGTCTGAGGAGCTGGTTAAATGGCAAAAAACGGTCTATGCGCTTTGCTGTCCCAATGGTTTGGAGAGAGGCTACAAATCATACTAATGATTGTTACTTTTGCATGGTACCTTGTGTTGGACAAGCCACAGGTATGTCCAAGAAAAAAAATCGGTTATTAACTACCCAAACATACCATCTGCGATGAGACCTGTGCCTCACAGTGACGAAAATCCTATTCCAAAACCCCCAGAATCCTACACTTGCGAATTAGAAAACGAATCAGATCATGGCGATCGAGTGATTCGTCAGGAAGAAGATATGCCATCAACGTCAAGAGATCCTGATTTTATACCGAGCACGTCATGCCACCAACCGCACAAAATAACACAGTCAGAATTAAATGATCTTGTAAGAGATTTAGAACTTCCAAAATGTAAGGCAGAGTTACTTGGATCAAGACTGCAGCAGTGGAACTTGTTAGAAGACGATGTTTCGGTATTTGTTTTTCGTAAACGCCACAAAGAACCATTTTTCAATATGGAGAATAACTTGGTTTTCTGCAGTAACATTAACGGCTTACTGGCGGCTTTAAATATAAACTATAACCCAGAAGAATGGAGATTGTTTATAGACAGTTCAACATTGAGTTTAAAGGCAGTGTTATTGCATATTGGAAACATTTTACCATCTCTTCCTGTAGGGTATGCAGTTCATATGAAAGAATCATATGACAATATGAAGTACCTATTGACATACATAAAATACGATGAGCACCAATGGCATATTTGTAGCGATTTGAAAGTTGTTGCACTTTTACTTGGGCTGCAGCTAGGCTACACAAAGTTTTGCTGTTTTTTGTATGAATGGGACAGTCGGGCAAAGGCACTTCATTACACCAGACAAAACTGGCCTGTTCGTCAATTCCTAGAGCCAGGTCAAAAAAATGTACAGCATATGCCATTAGTAGATTCGAAAAAAAATTTATTACCACCACTGCATATCAAGTTGGGCCTAATGAAAAACTTTGTCAAAGCATTAGATAGAGATGGGTCAGCTTTTCAATACCTGCGTCAGAAATTTCCAAGACTAAGTGAGGCCAAGGTTAAAGAAGGTATTTTTGTTCTGCCACAGAGTCGAAATATTTTGAAAGATACACAGTTTGAAAACACTTTAACAGGTTTTGAAAAAACTGCTTGGAATGATTTCCGTCTGGTGGTCACTAATTTCTTGGGAAATAGAAAAGCTGACAACTATAAAACCCTTGTCAAAAATGTGCTGTCATCGTATCAAAAGATGGGCTGTAATATGTCTCTTAAGATACATTTCCTACACTCACACCTGGACTTTTTTCCTGACAATTGCGGAGCCGTAAGTGATGAGCACGGCGAACGTTTTCATCAGGATATTTCAACAATGGAAAAAAGGTACCAGGGAAAGTGGAATCCTTCCATGCTTGCAGACTACTGTTGGACTCTTGTTAGAGATGCTCCAGAAACGATCCATAAAAGAACAGCAAAAAGACAGCGCATATAGTGATTCTTATAAGTATATGAATCTTGTTACTTTTTTTAATATATTCTTAATAATAAAAAGTTTTTTTTCTAAACCGCAACTAATTTTTTTATTTCATTGTCATTTTTGAATTCAGCGCCCCAAAATTAACAAAGAAGTGCACTTTTCCCACAAGATACAATTAAAAAACTAAAATTTGTTATCCAGTGAATTGAAAATGGCGACGCATAAAACAGTAATTCGAAGTTGTTTACTGTATGAGTCCAAACTTGGTACAAAAGCTGCAGCGGCGGCGCGAAAAATATGTGCCGCATTCGGAGATGATGCCGCAGAAGTGGTTCAAAAAATGTTCTTTGGGAGATCTCAGTTTGAGCGATGAACCGCGCTCAGGGAGACCAAAAATAATGAACAACGAGGATCTTCGACTGGTTGTGGACGCAAATTCCAGGACAACGTGCCAAGAGCTTGCAGAAATGTTCAGAGTGAGTCCTGAAACTATTCGTTTCAGCTAGGAAACACCTGGAAGTTAAGCAAATGGGTCCCACATGAACTGACAAATTAAGTCGTCTTACCATTTGTTCAGCAAATATTTCACGCAACGCTAATGAACCATTTCTTGATAGGTTATTATCCTGCGAAGAAAAATGGATCTTTCATTCGAATTCTAAGCGTTCGTATCATTAAGCATTAAGACAGGCCATTTATTATACATATTGTGCCAAAAAAGGAAAACAAAAACCAAACAGCGTGATAAAATATAACATAAAACTGTAATAAAAAAACATTGACTATAAAAACCAATGCAATACAAATAACTGTCAAACAACAGAACATTTATCACGCAGTCATATTAAAAAAATATCACAGGAAACAAAAAAAAAAGGATATGACTAAAGGCCATGTCTGTTTTGCATAAAAAAATTGAAGTTTTTGAGTTACTTAACCTTAGTCACTGTCTGTATCAGATTCTTCTTGTTGCATTTCTGTTTTCTCTATACTATATAAATTATTTTTGTATTTTTTAAAATGTTTTTCACCAACATTTTTTTATATTGTATCCAGTTTGATAATTATCGCGAACAAAAGTTAAAGATAAAATACGATTCCTTTTCTTTGCTTTGATTATCTCCATATATCAGAATGTCCACTCGACATCTGCATTGCCATGTAGCAAAAGTTAAGATTATAAGACATACTTTGGAAATACACTTCACAGGTTGTGTCTTCTTACCACCTACCTAATAAGAAGTACCGACCGGTGGTTACCACTGTCGATTGGAAAGATATCTGTATTTAGATTTGGTTACTAACTACACTCGCTTTTTTTTCTGGTAAAAATATCCATCATGTGTACCTAAATTGCAAAAATCCAATTCCGCCGCTACGCCGCTACCACTTGAAAATTCCGCTACCAGTAGCGGAATTCCGCTACTTCTGGCAACACTGGAGGCACCGACAGTTGACAGCTCGAGATGGTGTAATAAATGCAGTCCGCCATTTTTTTACTACAAATCCAGGGAGTTCTACAATACCGGCATACAAAAATTGGTTCCACGTTGGCAAAAGGTTATTAAATGTGATGGTAGTTACTTCGACGAATAATAGTGTCTTATTGTTTCTCAATAAAAATTTATATTTTTGTAATAAAAACCGCACGAACTTATTTGGTTACCTGATATAACATTGTACGGCAAAGACAAAAATAATCGGTCTAATTTGCCTGAGCTGTATTCTATAGTCTATAGTCATATATTTTCAGAACTGTCTGAATTTTGGATATTCCAACCGCCTTGCGTATCTCATATACAGGGTGACTTCGAAGTTGAGTCATTTATTTTAACAGTGGGTAGATCTGATCAAAGAAATATTTTTTCCTTTACCATTTTTCTGGTAAAATTAAAGTAACAAAGTTATAGCCCTTTGGAAGTTTGAGTACCGCCCTGTCTCAATAATAATATCATGTGCTCGTGTTTGGCAACAACGGATATAATCCGCCTTATCGGTTCATCGCTTCGGAAACAAAAAAGCGAAAGAATTTGGAACGATGTTTTTTACAATTATTTTATTCAGTTGTATACATACAGTCAGTGTCAGTCGGTAACGCGTGTGAATAGTTGTGTCTGTTGCGTGGCTCAAACGAAATAAAAAATGGCACATGTTTATGCGGATCGGTTTCCCAATCGAGTGCAACCAACCCCTCGTGCCTTTGTTAATGTAGTACAACGGGCTCGTGAATCAGGTGACTTAAGACCTCACAGGGGACCTCACGATCAAATACAGGTCCGCACTGAAATACTTGTCGGGAGGATACTTTATAAAACAAGGTAAACATTTTTTTTTATTTTTACACACATATTTTGGTTTATCTTCCTTCTACAATCATTATCTGAAAATTAATGACTCAACTTCAAAGTCACCCTGTATAACGGTCACGGTTCACAAGATAAAAACTGGTTATTCGAGTAACAATATTTGAAATGTTATTCAGAGCTTTATTTCCACTGGGGGTAACTGAAAGTGGTCACAGGGTAGGCATGTTCTGGATGGACTTGGACAAAAACGACCAAACAATCAGTCCGTATAACGTCGCCAGCCAAATAATTAATTCGATCGAGGTCATGGCCCATGAGTCAATTACTCTTCCATGGATTACGATACATGATTATGGAAAATTGACTACTGAATATCTAACCAAAATCAATCCAGTCACCATCAAGAAGACATTTGTACCTCTGGTAAGACTGTTAAAGCGGAATATACGAGGTCTGTAAATTGAGTGATGATACTGATTTCTTTTAATTTTTTTATTCAGATATAATTAAAATTTTATATTGTCGCCTTCAAAATAACTTCCCGCTGAATCCACTCAGCGCTGGAGACCGTTCTTCCACTCCTCATAGCCGTCAGCTGGTTGATTACAGCCGATTGAATGTTTCCGACGCTACGATGCCAGTCTCATCACTTAATTTACAGACCTCGTATCATGTTACGTTCCGTGAGCTCAGGTGCTATTTCGCAGACTTAGACTAAAATGTTTCATTGCCAATTGTTTTTCGGAAAATGGAAATTATGAAGGGTAGAAGTAGATTAGGTCTGTTTACCGACAAACGCGGCTGTTAAATTTCTACGCGGATTTTATGGAATTCATATCGGGCCACTGTATCACAGTCGATATAAAGTATTCAGACATCATATTCGCAATAGAAATACATTAATTCAGTGAGAGTCAAATACAGAGAAAACAATAAAAATGCTAATGTTTCTAGAGTAGAAAGTATACTAAGTGACATATAAATCCGAACACCCAGTTTAAATGGTTTTATTTTAATAAAATTTTGTATAAGTACTTAATGAAGCATAATAAGTAAATGATAAAAATTTCAAAATGATTGCACTGCTTTAAAGCCCTTTGACCTTTAATAATGTGTGGATGCACCCTGATGTGCTACGCATTCTCCAACGCGCCTCGGCATGCTTCTGATCAGGTGGTCAATGTCCTCCTGTGGTATCTCATTCCAGGCAACCACCAACTCCTGTCGAAGTGCTTCTAGAGTCTGAGGAGGACGTTGCAAATTGAGCAATCTCCTACCCATCATATCCCACACGTGCTTAATTGGGGATAAGTCGGGAGATCTTGGTGGCCATGGTAACAATGTGACATCATTATGTTGAAAGAAGTCTATTGTGACTCTTGCAACATGTGGTCGGGCATTATCTTGTTGGAAAGTTGGATCTGCCAGGTGTCAAGATAGGGTAGAAGATGTGATTCTAGAACTACGTGGATATAACGCTGCGCGTTCATGTTACCTCTGATGAAGATTAAAGGTGACCTGGAACCATAAGCTATAGCACCAAAAAACATAACTCCAACGAATGAGAAGTTTTGGCTTGTTTTCATACCGGCCACACTGTGTCCTCCCTTTAACTTGAGAACACCAACGTAATCGCCTTGAGTGGTGCAGACAACGGTCACTCTGGGATCAGGAATGGAACAGTATTATCTTTAGTGACGAGTCTCGATTTTGTTTAGGCATGCACGATGGTCGTGCCAGGGTTAGAAGGCGACGTGGTGAAAGGAGGAATCCACAGTTTTTTGTTGAAAGACATGTTCATCACACTGTTGGAGTTATGGTTTGGGGTGCTATAGCTTATGGTTCCAGGTCACCTTTAATCTTCATCAGAGGTAACATGAACGCGCAGCGTTATATCCACGAAGTTCTAGAACCCCATCTTTTACCCTATCTTGACACCCTGGCAGATCCAACTTTCCAACAAGATAATGCCCGACCACATGTTGCAAGAGTCACAATAGACTTCTTTCAACATAATAATGTCACATTGTTACCATGGCCACCAAGATCTCCCGACTTATCCCCAATTGAGCACGTGTGGGATATGATGGGTAGGAGATTGCTCAATTTGCAACGTCCTCCTCAGACTCTAGAAGCACTTCGAGAGGAGTTGGTGGTTGCCTGGAGTGAGATACCACAGGAGGACATTGACCACCTGATCAGAAGCATGCCTAGGCGCGTTGGAGAATGCGTAGCACATCAGGGTGCATCCACACATTATTAATAGGTCAAAGGGCTTTAAAGCAGTGCAATCATTTTGAAATTTTTATCATTTACTTATTATGCTTCATTAAGTACTTATACAAAATTTTATTAAAATAAAACCATTTAAACTGGGTGTTCGGATTTATATGTGGCTTAGTATATATCCAAAAATACTAACAAACCTCCTACAAAAATTTCCTAGATACATGGTGCTGTTAGTAAGCATAAAATATGAATATTGTTCAAATATGTTATGATGAAATAGGATTATTCTCTCCATACACTACAGAAAATTTTCAATATGAAGCTTGACTAACATTAGAGTATTTTCAAATAGGACACGGGTTGAAGCTTCTGTACGGATTTTACCTCAAATCATCGTACCCGTTTTTCAGTCAGTGGCGTAGAAAATATTTCTGTCTTCAGTAGCGGTCAATATTTCATAATTCCTACACCAATGGTGTAATCTCGAACAGTACATTTCCTTAGAAATTTTAAATGACAAGGAGTAACGAGTAAAAGCTTGTTTGAAAGGTCTTTTGAAGTCTTTATTTTGACGATTGATTTTTTAAGATCAGCCGATTCGTTTTCGAGAAAATTAGAAAAATCTTTATTTACTTTGATTTGTTCAGATGGAAAACAAAAACAGAAGAAAAAATCACTATTTATTTCGATAAGTGTCCAAATCTACAATTCGTTTATAATTTAAAACGGAAACTACCAACATAAACAGCAGACGTGGCAACAACCAAATAACAACCTGAATTTTTCCGCTTTCTTTTCATCAACACAGATATATATCCTGGGCGAAATTTGTTGCTAAGGGAAAGAAAGAATTTAATTTGTGACAATCTTGGGATAGTGAAAATTAATTTATTGATTGATCTGAAGACATAATCTTGTTTCCATTTTAAAATTATAATTTCAACGTCCTGTATATCGCTAAGGAGACATTTTAAAAGCATCGTTTATATGAACTCGTTATTTTACGATTTACTGACGTCCCCCTATAGATCGATACTTTTATTTTGGCAATTTTACATAATCTCACTCATTTTTGTCAGTCTAGCAGTTCTATTTTCCTTCATACATCCGCCGTCGTACAGATTTGAAAAGATTATAAAAATTAAAGTATAGAGACGTAAAATTTTCTTAATTTGTGCTAGCGTATGAATGTAAAAAATCAAGTAGGGCTCTCAGACTGTGAAGCAGTGCTATACGAAATTAAAAAACTATTATTCTATTTCAGAAAATGTTTAGTATTAGACAAAAAGAAATACATATAGTCAATATCCCGAAATATGCTGAATATTCTTAAACATGTATAACAGTTCTTTATACCGAAGATCCGCGACAGGGTAAGTTATGACGTCATCATATTTTATTTTGTGCTCCTCATTAATGAATATTCTAGTTTATCGTGCACAGCTCACCGAACGAGCTTCAAAAATATATACCAAAATCACTTCTACCGATGGATTATGGTGGAGATCTACCAAACCTGAGAACACTAGCTGGTAAGACGATACGATATACATATTTTGTTTCTCTCATTTTTATATCACAGTCGGCAACTTCCAGATAGTAAAACCTGTGAAGCGTTAACCGTAGATTACAGGAAAGAGGTACATTTTCTTATTTCTTTTTCGTGCTTACATACAATGTCGCCACCAGGAACAATTTTCTTTAAATGTCTGGATGGGTCTTGTTGGTGACAATTTAATTGGTCCTTTCTTTTTACTCTTCGAATCTTACTTATAAGTACTATATATATATATACTTTCATATTTTTTAACAAGGAATCACCCTCTAAACCAGAGTTCCCCAAACTTTTTGTGTCGTAGACCCCTTGCCATGTTTTTCCGTGTTGAGTAGACCCCCTACTTACCTGATATTGATTTCCTGTAAATTTCTAACTGTAGTAAAGTTTAGTGTTAAAAACTTAAAGTAAAAACACATGTTAATTTATACATTTATTAATTGAATTTAAATTAAAACTACTCAAAATAAATTTTTGTATATGTTATGTAAATATACGTAACATTAAATAAACAGGTGTCTGACCAATAAGTGCCCGCATTGGAAATAAGTGCCCGCATTGAAAAAAAAAAAAATAAGAGGGATAAAATAAAAAAAAAGTGAAAAATAATAAAAAAAAAGTTTTTTACATAAAATAATACAATAAGCGAGTTCGTTTATTAATTATAACATAAACGTATGTTCTACAATAATTTCACTGTTAGTTTGATTAAATTCCGTTTCTTATACGTTTAAGTTATCTAAAAATAGGCAAAAAATTAACGAATTTTAGTGTGTACCTATCCTTGAATTTTCCGAATAATTAAAAAAAAATATTTTCTATAAAGGGGGGTTCTTTAAAAAAATCAATGCGGGCACTTATTCCCAATGCGGGCATTTATTGGTCAGACACCAATAAACATAAAATAAACTATAAATAAAATAACATAAGCAATAAGTCAATATTTTTAGTGAGAAGGATGAACCTGATGCTTTAATAATAAATTATCAACATTTGGCGTCAATTTTGTAAGGGTTGGTCTTAAATCTCCTCGGCTAATGATGTCCAGTCTGTTTCTTTTTTTCGTTAGGAGATTGGTAACAGCGCTGAACCCCCTTTCCACTAGGTATGACGATGGAAAGGAAATTTGAAAATTTCCTCGCTATATTCCATAATACGGGATAAGTAACGGGTATGTTGTTTTGCAGCCAGAGTTGCTGATATCCGTTTTTAAACTGAACCTCAAGTTCTTCGTTTGTACTTAGTTCAGTCAGTTCCTCTTGTATTATGACATTCGTTTCCTCTATGTCACCATATGGATTAATTATCCACGGTGGTATTACCATAGTCAAAATATCCTCAAACCTACATTCAAAATCTGAATAGAGGGCATTTAAATGTTGAACGTAAGTTGAAACGTCGTCTTCCTGGCAGCTTGTCTGTGACAAATTGGGGAACTGAGAAAATTCGCCCCGTCCAATATTTTGCTTCATTAGTTTAACTCTGGCAAGAAACGCTGATAAGATGGACTTTGTTTTAATCAAATTTAAACTGTCGCCTTGTAATTGCAAATTAACCATATTAAATTTGTAAACAAATCTGTTAAATAGGCGATGTCTGTTTTCCTCTTCTTTAAATTTTCTTTTAAAATTTTATGTTTAGTATCCAGAAATTCTAAAATAGTCTCAAAAAGTGCAAAAAATCTTGTCAAACATAAGCCTTTCGACAGCCAGCGTACTTCAGTGTGAAGGAGTAATTGATGAAAGTGTTCGTCATTTTCTTCACACAACTGCGCAAATAACCGCGTATTCAACGCGTTGCTTCGGGTTCAGTTTACTGCATCAATGACTAAATGAAGTGATTCATGCAATCTAACACTCAAATTTTTAGCAACTAAATGTTGTCGATGGATGACGCAATGTATTGCTAACACCCCTGACACATTTTGTTTTAAATAGCTTATAAATCCACGATAACGTCCAACCATGGCAGGTGCTCCATCTGTAGCTACTGATATTATATTTGATAAAGGAATTGCTTTTTCAATGAAGTAATCCTTCAAAACATGAAATATTGATTCACCTTTAGTATCGGTTATCAAAGTTCTTGCGAAGAGCAGTTCTTCGTAGATTTCTTGATTCATAATAAAACGAACATATGCCAATAATAATGCTGCATTATCAGGTAAAGTTGACTCGTCCAGTTGTATAGAGAAATGGGTCGTTTGCAAATAATAACATAAGAAGCTTTCAATATCGGAACTCATTTCATCAATACGTCTTTCAACAGTATTGTTGCTTAAGGGAATTCTTTTAATGATATCAGATGCAGGTTTGTGTAAAACAGTTTTTAAAACCTCTTCAACGGCTGGCAAAATTAACTTCTCTCCGATAGTATGCGGTTTTCCGGATTTGGCTATAAGTAACGAGATATTGTAAGACGCCCGCAAACCATCATCATTTCTTTGTGACGTCGAAGCGAACATTCTGTCCAGTGTAGGTCTCTTCTGAAATTTATCTTTGAGTGTTTGAAAGTATTTCAAATCTTTCTCTGTTTTATCAGGGTGGCATCTTGCAGTTTAGATGGTTTCATAGCGTCATTGCCCAAAACTTTGTTGCATAAAAGGCACATAGGCGATTGTTTGTCCGGCAATGATGGAATGAAGCCAAATTTCAAATAACCAACACTGTACTGTCTACATTTCTTTTAGATTCGAACATGGCATCAGTCATCTGTGGGCAAATTAAATTATTTAAATAAGACAGAAAATCCAGAAGCTGTATATTAAAAATATTTTTTGATTTTTCCGAAAACATTCCATAATTCGAACATCTTCTTGCAACAATTAGCTCGAATTACGGAGATTGCACTGTAATTATATTACCGATTGCTAAAACTTTCAAAAAGAAACTATTGAGGAGTACTCGTGTAATTTTGCATGATTGAATATTTAACTACTAAAAACTAAAGTCATGATTGGCCGTAATTTATCTATATTTGCTAACTACGAGTACAAAACTAAAATTTAATAAAAAATAATGTACTTACTTTTCTCCAGCACTCTCAAACAAAATAACACTGACTCACTATAATTTGTGTGATATACTATCTGTTTATATTTTTTAAAATATTTTCTTAGCACTTTCCTTTTCAAGATTCAGGAACGAATAAACGTATTTGTCCCACATTCGTATTTATAGAGTGACGAATTGAACAAGTCAGTGCAAGGTAGCGAAGCTCTGAGACTGCGACTCTCAGGCTTTTACAAGTTCAAATGTATTGCGACCACAAAGCGAATACCAACATCCTACAACTTACCACAATTTTATAAACATATATAATAAATTTTTTACTTCATAGGTACTTTTATAAATAATGTTTTGATATTATAAGATAGTATGATGTAAGTAAATAGGTACTATAAGTGTATGTGTTGAGATGCACTATCGTGGACCCCCATATTAATTTCATGGACCCCCAAATTTTTAAACTATCTCCATCTATTTTTCGAACACCCTGTATAACTTTTGGGTGAGATGCTCTTGTGGGAGGAAATATAATCAAACGGACTTTCCAACAGCATGGGTATCGGTATCTTGGTTGAGGAGTACTCGTACATTTTATTATTGACACATCTCTAAACACACTGCAAATCATATTAACAATTAGAAACAAACGATATTCCAATTAGAATTATTTCTTTCAGATGAATGGAACAAGAATTTTGAAAAATATGCAGAAAGATTTGACCAACTGGAGAAGTTGAAGGTAGACGAAACGCTGAGGTCAACCCCACTAAAAGACGATGAATTGTTGGGTGCTTATGGACACTTCAGAAAATGGACATTGATTAGGTTACCTTAAGATATATTTTGTGCTACTTTTATAGTATACAGGGTAATTTAGGCTCTATTTAAACTTTCCACGCAGCGTTTTTCGTTGCACAATAGTAAAAATTGTTTGTTAATAAAATCATAATTGTATCCTTCTCCCTTCAAAGCTTGGTTGAAATTAGGATGGCCTGGGTGAACTAGAGATGTTCGATATACATCGATGCATCGGAAACATCGAGATACAGAATTCGATGTACCGATTTGACGCGATGCATCGAACGCTTCCGATGTTTCTCGATGCATCGATGTATTTTATCGATGAATCGAAAACTTTTCATTTGGAATAGGTGTACTTACTTATTCTTCGTGTGAAATAATAATTATTTGAACATATAATGCAGTCTTAAGGAGCAGGGCAAACCCTTAATGAACAAAGAAACAGATTAAAAGGAAAAACATTAAATCAGATTTTATTTTTACAAAGTTTGGATAAAGAATACTGGGACTCGGACTAGTGTTGTGCTGTTAAATACACTGACAGCTTATGAAATAATATATTTTATATGTTCACAACTATTAACGTTCGAGTTTTTGATAATTTTTATATTGTCAGATGTCATCTACATCGTTGGGAGCCCTATTTTTGAGACAACCCTCGTATATCACTGTAGCTGTATGGCCAATAAGAACACAGAACATATGTATTTATCTTTCATGCTTCATCAAAGTTGGTTTTCCCAAAATATGGGGCCGCAGCAACTGGTTAATGAATATAAATGATTAATTTTATTCAATGAATAAGCGTCCGGATCTGTCAATAGAAATTTATTAATTCAATACTCATCATAAATTACGTAAACAATATATGAATAAAATAAATAAAAAATACTTTAAACTAAAATTTACATATTTGAGTACGTATAATTATTTGTAGCTTTTAAACAATTCTACCAGCACAGCCTGTTCTTGTCTCTTGAGGCATTTCATCTCCAGAACTTTATAAAACTCTGTTAAGTGGCAGTCGGGAAGCAGCATTTTATATTGCTCAACAAAATTCTTCGGAGGATCAACTGGTGTCATCACCACTTTCAAAATCATTTCTGCTTTTGTCAGTCCTTTTGTAACCACCTTGAATAAAAATTGGAAATACAGTTACAAAATATATTTTCAAAATTACATATTCTACAAAATAAAGCTATGAGAATCATTTCAAATAAAAAAAATATGCTAGGATTAAGTCTATGTTAGAAGAACTACAATGGTTCAATATACAAAATTTCATAGGTTATTTAGTCTCATTTCGTATTCGAATCATTCATTACCATCACATTTGGAAAACTTCACAAAATTAAATAGTCGTTATCATAACTACGAAACTAGAGGCAGAATAGATTTTCATCTACAAAATTCTAATAGTAGCATAACTAGCAAATATGTATTTCAAAGGAGGGTATCTGAATTTAACAAATTGAATAGATGTTAAACAGTTTTCGAATTTAAAAATGTTTAAGACGTAATTTTAATAAACGGAAATGGATTTAAAAAAAATGGGTCACAAAGAGCCCGTTCACAAACATTCAGGGTGCGTCATCTATTACTTTTTTCTATTTGAAGAATCAACACGATTTTACGAGGTGAAATCGAATTTTTTTCATTGATAAATGAAGGTTGTTTTATGCCATTTATGTATGAAAAATAACATCAGTCATGTGACCACCGCGGCTTCGTTTACAGGCCAACATCCGAACATCAAAATTTACAATGACTTTTCCCAGAATAATCTGGTCTATGGCCGCAATCTAATTCCCAATATTGCGCTTTAGGTCTTGAATTGTCCGGGGACCACTCGCATACACTTTTCCTTTCAAAAATCCCCAAAGAAATAGTCAAGAGGTGTTAAATCGCACGATCTCGGGAGCCAACTGACATCTGAATTTCGTGAAATTATGCGGTCTTGAAATTTCGTGTGATTGTTTGGCGAGATGTGTGAGCCGTTGCTCCATCTTGATGAAACCAAAGATCGTCGGCACCAATACGATCCAATTGTGGCCACAAAGTCTGTTAACATGCCGCGATAACGTTCCCCGTTGACGGTAATGGCGTTCTCTTCGGCATCTTCAAAGAAGAATGGTCCAACCATGCCACCAGCCCATAATCCGCACCAAACAGCCACTTTTCAGGATGGAGAGGTTGTTCATGATATTGGTGTGGATTTTCTGCCCCCAGAATCTGCAATTTTGCTCATTTACGTACCCATTGAGGTGAAAATGAGCCTCATCAGAAAAGAGCACTTTGGCCGAAAATCCGTCTCCTCTTTCCAGCATCCAATTAACAAAAACACGCCGCTGTTGATGGTCTGCCGGCTTGAATTCTTGTGTTAGTTGGATTTTGTATGGATGGAGGTGTAAATCAATGTGTAAAATCCGGCGTAAAGTGGTCTCACTAATTCCCAATTGTTGCCTAGTCGAGGTGGTTGGACCTTATCGCACACTTTCACTCTAGCGGCTGTTTTCACGAGTACGAGCTGGACGAGCATGTTGGTATGGTCTACGACCTTCAGCTGAACCAGTCTCCTCAAACGATTAACAATCCAACGAATTCCAGGCTCTGTAGGGCGTCCTTGTCGGCCAAGACTAGTGCGAAGTTTGCGAAAAGTATTTTTTATATTTCGACCGTTTCCGTAATAAGATAACCAAAATGCGTTGTTGTGTTGTAAACGAATCCATGACTATAAATGGCATACCTTTGACAGTTCATTTATGCATACCACACGACTTTTGACTCACAGGGTAACACATAAACTTATAGGTAAAAAAAGTAATAGATGGCGCACCCAGTATCTTTTAACAGGATTGCAAAAATACTGGTAGTATTGTTTGGTCAGCAGAAATATGTACAAAACCGCGAAAATCGCCATTTGTTAGCCTACCAAGCAAGGTTAAAAAGTGCTTTAAAATAAACTAAGCGAGCAATTCTCTTTAAGGTCTTGTAGGGGAAGGTTTTGACTTTAATTTAGACATTTGGCAAATCTCAAAAATGATTTTAGCCGGGGTTTTAAGCATTTTTTATTGTTTCCCCTCTCTTTTCAAGGTTTGGAATTTTTTACAATTTAATTTCCATTTGATATTTTGACCACCTGCTATAAGAAGACAAGGACCAGGACAAAAAATACGAAACATTCATAGGCTTACCTGCATTTGTGATTTTTTACACAAATTTTGATATTTCTCAAAAAGGGTTAGAATTAGATACTGGATCTTATACAGGGTGGCCAATAAATAACTGATTTAAATTGCGCGCCATTTTTTTATGCACGCATTTCATAAGGTGGCGCCGTAGTAGTTATTTGACGTACATGTGTCCAATTCATCATGGAGCGCTACTCGATCCTACAACACGTCCGTACTGTTAAAACGGTTTACTTAAATAATGCGTCGATTGTTACAACGATTCGGAAGCTACGACAAGATTTCGGTCGAAATAGTGTGCCCAGTGTCAACATCATTCGTTAGTTGGTGATGTCAACTGGGCACCAAGGTCACCGGATATAATGGCTCCTGACTTTTTTTATGGGGATTTTAGAACAATAGGGTTTAATTGACGTATTTTACGAGATTTCATTTCACAAATATTCAAGATACAAACCAGTCAGTTACGTATCGGCCACCCGGTACGAAGAATGTATTTAGAATCTTGCGAAGATTTCAAAAATTGAAAAACATCCAAGATGTTCCATTCTAGATAAGCAACTTGGTACATTTTGAAAATATTTTAGCCAAGTTCCTCATATCAGTTATACCATAACCCTAAGTTTTCATAATTGTCTAACGCTAACTTTCCGAGTAATCGATCTACGTGGAACACCCTGTATAGTTCATAATTTACCTTTGTATATGCTGCTGGCGCAGGATGGTTAATCTGAGAAGCAATCGATGGCAGATTCAACAGGACCGTCTTCAACATATGAGTGTCAAGCAAAAGCTGTTCTGCACCTTCTGATTTAATCGGTTTGCACTTATAAATACATTGAATAAACTTTGGAATGAAAACTATCCACAAACTTGATACAAAACTTGGTGAAATATTTTCTGGAATGCGATAAATTATCCCTGATTATAGGAACTGTCGTTTTTTAGGTGTGTTGTTATCGCCGTGATGTACGGACTTTGGTCTCCAACTGTATCGAAGTTCTGCCATTGAATCTGTGAACAAACGTATTATGACCGTGTTGAAAAATAAAAAAAAAATCAGAAAAAATGTCTTGTATCTTTGTTAGGTCGCAAACTTTTCAGACCACTCTCGTATACAGAAGTATAAAACACAACATTGATTACTTAAAAATACTACTCGACCAAATATGGTACAATTTTGATCTAATAGTTTTAACTGAAACGTGGCAAGTGGTTGATATTTCTTGCTTCAATCAGCAGGGATATGACACGCTGTATAACTTTGGACTTATAACCAAAACGATGGTTTTTGTAAGAATAAACTGCAATATAATCATGATACATTCAGTTTCACCGATGGAATCAAAATTTTAAACATAATGATCCAAATTAAACATAACAAAATTGAGGTATCTGCAATTTATCGTCCGCCATGTTCAGAACCCCACGAGTTTTTAAAGAATATCGAATTTTTTTTCAAAATCAAAATAAAGTTCATTTAAAGCAACATATTTTCTTGGGAGATGTCAATATAAATATTTTGGACGATGATCCCATCACAAATGAATACTTGAATATCCTATCAAGTAACGGATTTCTGTCCTATATAAACCTACCTACAAGGTCCATCAGTGGCACATGTATAGATCACTGCTTTGTGAAAGACCTATCCAACAAAATTACTTGTATACCAATAATCCTAGAAAGCGATATTACTGACCACTTCTCCACTATTTTACTGATATCTTCAAATGAAAAACATTCTAACATCCCTACCGTTAATAACAACCAAGAAAATTACAAATTTTTTGTCGACAATTCAAAACTAATATCAAATGTCAAACAAGAATCCTGGGAACAATTATACTCTATAAATAATATAGACAAAGCAACGGGACTGTTCATAGAGAAAATAAAAAAAACTAATAGATATTAGTACCAATAAAGTAAAAATTAGTCACAAAGAGAAAAGCAGGAATGTCTGGATTACCAAAGGATTAATAACATCGGCAATAGAAAAAGAAAGACTATATAATGTAATGAAACTAACGCCAACTACAGAGAATACCGACTGCTACAACCAATATAAAAATAAATTTATAGAACTTGCAAGACAAACCAAACGAAAACATTACCTAAATAAATTGAATAATAACTTAAATGATCCTAAGCGGCTTTGGACAACTATTGATGAGATTACTGGGAAAACAAAATTTAAAGAGTGTGTCACCGAGTTAAATACAACATCGGGAACAGTATTAAAAAATACTCAACAGATATGCGATGAATTTGTACAATTCTTTACTGACATAGGCGAAAATTTAGCAAGTAATATACAAGCAAACGTACAAAATACTCAGCCTCCAAAAAGAACTTTGAACTCATTTATTTTGGATAAAGTCGAGCAATGTGAAGTATACACCACTGTTATGGCCTTAAAAAATCGGAAAAGTCCTGGGTTCGATGGTATTAAAAGCGAGCATTTGAAAATTATAGCCGAGGACATAACAGAACCACTCACTTACCTAATCAACAAATGCTTTGAATCTGGCATATATCCCTCAATTTTAAAAAAAGGTAATATAATACCGATACATCAATCAGGAACAAAAACAGATGTTAACAACTATAGACCAATATCAATAATATCCAGTGTAGCAAAGGTTTTTGAAAAAGTTTTATCTACTAGAATGATTCGATACCTCACAAAATTCAAAATTTTAAGTGAAAATCAATATGGATTTACAGAAGGGAAGGCTACATCGGACGCAATAACTAAAATTGTAAATCAAATACATTAAAATATTGATAACAGAATCCCTTCAATCTGCATTTTTGTTGATTTAAAGAAAGCTTTCGACACAGTTAATCACAAATTATTATTAGAAGCACTGGAGAGAATTGGTTTCAGAGGAAACGCGTACTCACTGATCGAAAGATATTTGTTAAATCGCCCACAATCTGTGCAGATATCAGGATCATTTAGTAAAGAAATGTATATTAAGTGTGGTGTCCCACAAGGAACTGTCTTAGGTCCGCTGTTATTCAAGATATATTTAAATGATATTTTCCAAATTAATTGTGTTGGCAAAATAACTAGTTTTGCAGATGATACTGCAATATTATATGAAGGCACTGACTGGTCTGATCTGAAAAATGTAATTGAAATTATTTTATCAAAATTATTCGATGGTTTAACAGTAGAAAATTAAGCATTAACTACTCTAAAACACATTTTTTACCATTTGGATCTTATGCTAGACATCTGCCAAATTACACAAATTTCTCCTTCAATATTAATGATCAAAAAATGCAAATTAATAGATTGCCCAACATAAAATACCTTGGAGTGGTCTTGGATCCTCACTTACGATGGGACATCCATATCAATTATATTTTAAAGAAAGTTAGATTTGTATCCTACAAAATTAAATACCTTGGGAATATATTGACAGAAAAATATCTTCGAACATTATACCATGCACTGATTGAGCCTCATCTCACATATGGTATATTAGCATGGGGAGCTGCATGTTCCTCACATATCTATAATTTAGATGTTTTTCAAAAAGTATTCTAAAAATGATATTTAAAAAACCGAAACTTTACCCCACTGAAAAATTATACGCAGATGTTCAAATGTATGATATAAGACAGCTTTATTTCTTACACAGTATCACTCACTACCATAAATTTGTAAACACCGACCAAAAAATTAAACATAATCATTATACCAGGTACAAAATTCGTGGCACAGTAGTTCCTCAACCGCATAAATCTATAATGCAGCGATCATATCTCTATTTAGCACCTAAATTTTATGAAATTATACCTAAAGACTTAAAAGATTTACGTTTCGGAAATTGTTTCAAAAGAAATTTAAAAAAGTGGCTACATTCTATATCTAGGACTGAAATTCATAAACTCATCAATACGAACATCAACTAAATACATAATCTACTGTAGCTAATTTTTGTCCTTTTTTGTCAGTTGCATTCTACAGTTTCAACTTAAATTATTGGTCCATGTACAGGCGATGCCTTCTATTGGGCCTGTTTTGATTTTATATTTATTTACTCATATTGTTTGTTATCTTTGTACATTGAGTGAATAAATATTATTATTATTATACATACCTTACTCATAGCTGTTAGGGCAGGTTCACAAGCATTTTCCAAATCTTGCACCAAAATCTGTATACAATTCGAGATTACTCTAAAAACGCAAATATTATGAATTTATTGTCACAATACTCGAGGCTTACTTGTGGAAGTCATCTTGCCCCTTAGAAAAATCTATCTGATCTGCCAAGGAAGGATCAATTTTCTCCTTTAGCTTATCTTGTAACTGTTGTGTGGTTTCTAAACAATACTCTGCGGTAGTTAAAACGTAACAAATTTTTGTTTGCTCATCTTTTGTGAACCTGCAAGATATAGTATTCTGATATATCTTGATAACATAAAAAAGGCATTAAGAAACTTGTGAAAAAAATGTCTACTATCTTTACAAACATACCTTGTGACTTCACCTTCCTTCAAAAGTGATGAAAAATTATGTATTAATCCCGACGTAGATATTTTCTGTAAATCTTTGGTGAAATTCTGCATAGAAGCACCTAACGTCTGCGTTTCTATTTTAGGTAAATTGCTCATAAGCAACTTTTCGGAATACTCGTGCAAATATTTTTGGAAAACTTTTGCCAGACTGAGCATGGTTTGCCCTCTATCCAGCTGGTTGCATTGAATCATGCTCTTTTTATAAAATACAAACAAATCTGGACAACTGGGCAAGATGGCGGCCTGGGTTTCGGTAGCTTCAGTGGGAATGCTCTGTTTTTGGTCCATGACAAAACGATCTATCAGGTCAGAGAGATTTCTGTCCACACTGTCGATGTAGATTTGCAGATGTGGGATGAAACATTTACCTGGAAGTCAGTAGCTTTTTGATAACAACACAATACCCTGTTGAAAATGCTTGAAATAACAGTAGCATAGCCCGTTATACAATTTCTTGAATAACAAATTGTCACATACAGTAATGGACAAAAGTTTATAGACAAATTAATATTGTGCTGCATTTCTTTTTTAACTTGTTTTATTAATACACCAACCTGTATACATAATTCGTTATAGCATAATACTTATACATAAATAAATTCATTAGACTCCCTTCAATAAAAAATTAATTGAAAAAAACTGGAACTATGAAGGAGAAAAATATATAGACAAAGCAAAACAATTATAGAAAAAAGAAGCAAAGTTCATTGAATTATAGAAAACCAACCATGTTTGTGTTAATATTTTGTAGCATAACCATTATTATCAATCACCGCCTGGCATCGTCTCGGCATAGATTGTAGAAGTTTCTTGATGTAAGATTCATCAATCTGTCTCCGCTTTTGCTCAAAAGCAGCAAAAAGTTCATCCTTGTTTGAATAATTTTTATCTCGTATTTGCTTATCTAAGTATTCTCATAGATTTTCAATGGGGTTTATGTCGGGAGACTGTGAAGGCCATTTGAGAACTGGTATTTTTTCATCCAGAAAGAATTTCTTTGCGAGATTTGAAGTGTGCTTCGGGTCATTATCTTGCTGGAAGATTGATCTTAAGGGCATATTGTCTTCCATATAGGGTAACATGACATGCTTTAGTATACCTGTGTATACAAAATTATCCATAATGCTTTCTATTCTATGTAAAGGTCCCATCAAAAACCCCGAAAAGCACCCCAAACCATAACATAACAAACCATGTTTGACAGTACACAAAGTGTACTTGGGGTTCAAACTTTGTCCACTAGGACGTCTAACGTAATGAACACCATCTGATCCAAACATATTGAACTTGGATTCGTCACTGAAACATACCCTTCCAGTCACAGATGTTCCAATCAAGATTCAACCGTGCAAATTGTAATCGGTCCTTTCGCTCAAGATTAGCGGCTTCTTACTCAGGCGACGTGCAAATAACTTCAAATCATTTAATATTCTACTTATAGTTTTCGTAGAAATACTGATTTCGGCTTTTATTTGTCTTGGGGTGTTAAACGGATCTTAGGACTTTTATTGATCTAACTGATCTAGCATTTAGTTTTCTAGGCCGACCACTTCTCTTAGAGGCTTCCAAGATACCTTTTTGTTTATATTTGTTCAATATTGCCCAAACAGCTTCAAGCTTCAGCTTCAAATTTTTGGCAATGTCGACTTGAAGTTGACCATCTTTGTATAGCTCAATCATCTTAGTTTTCACATCGAAAGAAATTTCTGGACCACTGGCATGGTCTTAAAATCGCTCAACTTATTCCACAATACTTGATGAACTCAAACTAATTCTCATCTGACACGAAACTGTACTAAACTAATGTTGAAAAGAATTTGTCTACATATTTTTGTCCCTCATAAAAAAGTGCTTATATTCAGTCTTGTATTGCAGATAATGTAAAAACAAGGAATTTAGTTTTTCTACTAATATCGCATTTGTTTAAAGAGCAATGAAGTATTAATTCGTTTTCTAAAGGTATTTAGGTAAATATTCATATTTGTCTATATACTTTTGTCCATTACAGTACGTCTTCACGAGTTTTGATGAGGCATGTCTAGAAATGATTTTCAAATGGTTTGTGTCGCTCAATTCTGTGTCAAAATCAATTGGTTTACTGTTTCCAACTATTCACAAGCATTAGAAATTCGTTGTCTTATGCCTATCAACAAAACATATAGGCACATCTACGAGGGACGTTTCAAAAATAGCCTTCCAATGCTGTAACTTTACCGAGCGTGATGGTGGGCGAAATCTGGCAACACCGGTGTGTTTGTCGGCTCCTCAGCACCAATCCCAACAGAAAGCACCTATTTTCGACGCTCAGTACCAGTTCGACAGTCATGCGATTGGTGTGTTCCTACGATTTTTGCACGCAACAAAAAAAAAAAAAAACCCATAGAAATTCATCCCCCGTTGAGTGAAGTAAATGGCAAAACGTGTATAAGCAATCAGCATGTGCTGAAATGGTGAAGAGAGCAACCGCACGGACATCCACGATAAAAATGCGTAGAAAAATAATGGCAACGATGTAGAAAAATAGCTTAAAAACGAACGTTTCCAATGGCGAATTAGTTTTTTTAATATCCACTCACAGAATTTTTGTCTGGATAATTTCCTACTCACCAATTAGCCCATGAAAAGGTGATGAATTCAAATCCATATCCCTCTCATCCAAAGTGTCAGCTGTCAAATCCGCCTGCTTCACGTGTCTGGATCCTTCTGATTTGGCACAATCTTCACTGAGAGTAACTCCTGTAAATCTTCTGGAGAGCAGATTTTCAAAAGCAGATGTCTTCTGAATAGCATAGAGCAACAATTTCACATCAATCTCATTCTTCCTTTTTGCCATTATTTTTGAGAGTTCTTCCCTGGTAATATGGCAAAACTGGACTGCGATCTGTTCTGAAACCTCCCAATTTTGGGGAAACATATTCCCTAAGCGGTCCTCAAATTCCAAGAGATGTCTTTTAAGCCAAGCATAGCGCTTGTCGATCTTATCGAGCCAAGCTGTATCTTCAGTTTCATTGAACAAGTGGTGGTATTCCTGCAGTTGAAGGTCTATGAACCATTTCAGGAGGTCCCGTTTCACTTTTGGATCTAGGATTGATACCACTAAACACGCTTGGGCCAGCTGTTTATTCGGAATTGTAGTCTTGTTTGAACCTTGAATCATAAAATGGTGTTGGGGGTCAATATGTCATGAAACTTTCAGTCACAAATAACTGTACAATTCATAAAGTGCATTATCATGACTAGATCACATGGTGAGACCAAAGGATTAAGGATATCTCCTCATATACTGTTAAGTTTTAACATGCTTGATTTACCTGAGAACGCTTCCTTAAAGTCATGTGTAATCTGCTCTGCTAATTCAACATGTATTTGTTTCACTTGATCACTAAGGTTCTTTACTTGAGGTATATCTGTATAATTTTCAAAATGTGTCATTACCTCACTAATTGCTTGCAGAGGCAAAGCTATTTCGCCATAGAATCTTTTCTGAGTGAGTGATTTCAGTGTATCCACACCCCCTACTAGCATATGCAGATGGTTCAGTGTTGTTATAGCTAGCGTTAGATTCTTTTTAGCACAGTCTAGCTGCTTGATATCCCTTGTTATTTCTCGCACCATCTCCTCTGACTTTTCTGCCCTCTCCTTTATATCAGTGATGTGTGTGAATAGCTGCTTAATGACCTTTTGCGCCTCTTCTAGAGCTTGTTTCCATCTTCACTGCCTCAATTTGGGCCCCGAACTACGCTACTTATTTCATTGTCTATTGCATTGATTTTGTTTTCCATTTTTAACACTACTTCATCTATATTAGAGAGGGATTGCTCAGTGGGGAATAATGAGTTAATGTAATCAATGCTATTGAAATCGGGCTCATCTAATGGATCTTTGCTTGGCAGTACCTGAAAAAGGGAGTTTAATGTAATTTTTCAAATGGGTAGAAAACTGATTTACCTCTTCGATTGCTTTCTGGACAACAGCTGGAAAATGTGTGAACAAATCCTGATCTTCATGTTCAGTATCCTGTGCATGTTCCATATTTCGGAAAAAATATATTTGAAAATTGTTTTCCCTTGGTAGGGTTAACCTCAACTCCTAAAACGTCAAGTGATATCATCACTAAACGTCATTCGCGCTGACCCATTTGTCTGCAGTGTTGCCGGTACTACTCAATATTCATGGATGCTGCAAATTACATCATGCATGTGGTCCATCATTAGAGTTACGAAGAATAACGGATAAATCAGAAACGATGATACAATTCCAAAAGGTATGATTTTCAAGTGACTGCTTCAGGATTTGAACGAGGGCTTGGGCTATGCTGATGTTATTCTAGCTGTTAGATACACGCCACGAATGGAAAAATCTGTTAATTAACACATAGCTTATTTCTATTTGAACACTGACTTGTCCTTTCCGGAAAAATCGTAAATAATAGAGTCCAGTAGATTAACCTGTTTTCTGTTTTTCCCAACGCGTTCACTGCTATTGTACTAATATACGAAAAAGAACTGCTAAAACTTTCTGATTTCACATAAAAATTTCTTTAGATATGATACCCTACGGACTCATTTGTGACGACCTGTTTAACAAATCACCTGCATCGATTTTGGATTTGATGATTTTGCAGTTATAGTGGATGTAAGCAGTGATAAGTCAGGACAATCAGATGATTTTCAAAGTTCATTTTTGAGCATAGCTCCCCTTCACTGAAGCATGGCAACTCTGCAAAAGTAATAGCTGCAAAACGTCAAAATCAGCTGTTTTTATTTTTGTTACATTTACATGAACAGGGTTAGGATTATGAATCAAAGTGCATTGTTTTAATTTATTGAATTTTGAACATATACGAATCAGTAGTGGAGTGATTTATAGATGTGGCAAAATGGAACAGTTCAGAGATGCCCATTTCTTTTACACACCTTCTCAAGGTAATATCTACACAATAGCTGAGCTGAAACTTGCTAGTGGGTGCAAGAAACTATTGGTAGCTTCATTAAAAAGAGAAATATTTTGCTTTGAATATCAAGAATCACCATCGGGTACATTGATGCCTACAGCCCGTGATATTTCTTTTACCTATATTCCAAGTAAGTCGTAAGATTCTGAATACATGGAGGAGAAATTTTATGTTATCTTATTCCTCAGATGCTGCTGAAATTATTTCTCTAGATGCGTTCAATAAATCTACAACAAGTAATGAGTTTGTAATTGGAATCACAATTATCAAGGTATGTGGAAACAAATATTACACTCCAGTATTTCACACTACCTATTGCTAAATAAAATCTCTTGGCAAAAGTGAGAAATGTTTCTTACTACCTGAAGCTTTTTTTGACGTTGAAGTCTTCCTTATTTCTAATTTTTTCAGCCTGGCATAATTTTTATTGTATTTAGCCGCTTTTATAATATTTTAACCACACATTTCTCTGTAATGGCACCAATAAAAAGCATTATTATGCAGCTCAAGTCAAATTGCAATAAACACACAGAAGCAATGTCTTGGTATTTTAATTGTTTCTTTTTATTTATAATTCCTATTCTTTGAAACATGCTTTTAGAACAGTAATGATGCTGATAGCACACTGGAAACCTATCTGAACATTTACTCAGAGTGGGAAGAATCGGAGGACTTCAATATAGAAAATATTGCACAAAATTGCCTCACTGTAGAGCTGAACTTCATTCCATACAAGCTGTGTCATACCCATCTAGTAACATGGAAAAATGACCAGATAGAGAGCAAAGAGGTAGGAAGTACCTATATGAGTACTAGTATTAATTAAAAATTTTAGATTCTCCAAGATCACGACTGGATTTACAGACGTCCACGCGATGGTCGAAATGTTCAATGACATTTTGCAACATGGTCGGTTCTATGGCATTTATCTCGGCAATGATGTTGTTTTTGAGTTCTTGGAGGGTGGCTGTTTGTTGACGTAGACTTTGCTTTTCAAATATCCCCATAAAAAGAAGACCAAGGAGTCAAATCGTACGATCTTGGTGGCCATGGCACATTTCCTCTGCGCGAAATCACGCGATCACCGGAGAACGACTGCAATCGATGGATATTGACGTTGGTTGTGTGGCATGTTGCACCGTCTTGTTGGAAATATCGTCCATATCCATTCCTTCAAGTTGCGGCAAAAAATAGTCCTCTATCATCACGTGATATCGCTCAGAATTGACGGTAACGGCGTCCCCGGCCGCATTTTCGAAAAAGTAAGTTCCGATGATGCCTTTTGACCACAATGTACACCACACAGTCACTTTTTGAGGATGCATCGGCTGCTCTTGATACTCACGGGGATTTTCGTTCGCCCAGATGCGGCAGTTTTGCTTGTTTACCGTCCCATTCAAAGTGAAATGCGCTTCGTCGCTGAACATGATTTTTGATGAAAAATTGGCATCAATTTGGCGGTGTTCAAGGACCCAATTGGATCTTGTAGGCGTGTACATTCAATCCTTGTGGAGAATACGGAGCAAACTGGTTCTCGAAATGCCCAATTCTTGGGATCGACGCGTTGTTGATTGTTTCGAATCGTCTCTCACACTCTCCTTCACAACAGCAATATTTTCGGTGTGCGAACGCTCCTTGGCCGGCCAGAGCCTGGCAGATTTGCCACAGAACCTGTTGCCTCGAATTTACGCACCAGACGACCGATGGTTGTTTCGTTTGGGCGGTTGTTGCGACCGAAATGTTCACGAAGCGCGCGAAAACGTGTTTTTTATTTTGCACCATTTTTGTAGTGCTCTTGAATAACTTTAATGCGGTCTTCAATCGAATACGACTCCATAGCGATCAATGGTAAACATTCAACTAACAAAATGACATGTCGGTGACAGAAAACAAAGATGGCGTCTATGTCAAATTGACGTTTACTTTCCTGCGTCCCTATTGGACAACCCTTTATAATAACGGTAAATCCCCGACCATCTCGTCCCTAACTCACACGCCTGGCAGAAATGCAAAGCGGAATTTCAATCTCTTAAGGTTTATCTTAAGCCCAGAATCCATGAATACGCTTTTTCATTTTAGATGGTGTTCATTTTATCAGGAAATGACAATCAAGTTCACATATTCAAAGAATCATCATCCGAACACAATTATAGAGAACTAGAAGGAAACAACTTCTTTCCAGAATTTTCCAAGACGCCGAGTCCCGTTGTATGGATTGATATAGTTTACCTAAATAATTTTGCAAGGTATGCTCGATAATTCTGCATGTGTGATCATCAAAGTGCGTAGAAAAACGTTCATTATTTTTTTAGGAGGGTGACTTCATTTGTGTGTGAATGCGGTTATGTGAAGCTACTTGTGGTCGACGTTAAGTGCAACAAATTGATCTACAACTTCTCTACCAGATTGGCAATTATATACCTAGAGTTCAGATTTATTTAGAAAAGGATGAGACTGATTTACAATGCCGGAATGAATTATAAAAAGCCTTATAGATGATAAGACTGACAAAATTGAAGATGAGGAGTTTATACTAAACTTGGTTGTTGTAAATTCTATCTTGCCTGCCGTGATGTTTCAGTAAGTATATTCGTGAAGTTGTCGCACACTTAATGATTCTATTGAATGGTATAGTGTGGTAGGTTGAGTATTTTAGAATTTCAAATGAGTGTCGGATATTTTATGACAGTTTTGCTATAATTTTTTCAGCAATGTCCTCAAGTATGGATTATCAGATTACACCACACTACCACGGCTTGACAATACTACCGTTCTAACATCTTGCGAAGTTGCGGACATAGATTTGATGGAGAAAAGGAACTGTTAATTGGAAATAGTGCCGAGGTAAATTTATTCATACAGTATGTTAACACTAATACACAACTGAAGCATCATAAGGAGTGTGTAAATGGCAACATTGATTAGGTACTACGAGCCCCTTCCCACTTCAAGATTTGTACCAAAATATGCCTTTATAAACTTAACACGACGAAACTATTCACTTCTAAAACAATTTACTTTCTCAAACACATTTTAGATACACTCTAGTCGTAAAAAATACATGTTTGAAATCACTTAGACCTATAACTAATAGAACATCTGAACAAATAAACAATGTGCGAATAAATGCGCGAAGTTAACGAAGCAACAATTGAAAGATTACCATTGGGTAACATCACCTTTATTTTTTATTACGGCTGAAATTCTTTGGGGCATAGTGTTAACAAAGTTTTGGCAAAAATTTGGTGTAAAACAATCTCATATTTCTTGAAGCTTTTGTCTCAGTTCAGTCATTGTACGAGCAGGATGTTGCCGTAGAACCTTTTTCATCTCGTGCCACAAAGTTCAATAGGTGACAGATCTGCCTGCTAGAAACCCATTTCAAAAGTGGTACATTATTTTCTTACATCCATTTTATAGCCTTTTTGAGGTATGGCATGCTGCACCATCTTGCTGAAACACAAAATCTTGGCCGGATTTCAAACATTCTTTCATCACCGGTAAAAGCGATTCTTCTAAAATTGCCAAATATTTCTTTGTATCCACATTACCATCAGTAAAATGAAGTTTTCCTGCTCCTTTTGATGACATACTGCCCAGACCATAATGGATGCTGGAAATTTCACTTTTCTCTTCAGAAAGTCAACATGGAATGCTTCATTTTTTTTGCGAATAACTCTACTGCGACTGTCACCAACACAAACTTCGAATCGGGCCTCATCACTCCATTGTATTGCACACCATTGTTGAAGTGGTCCATTGCCTATGTTCTTTAGCCCATTTAAGCCGATTTTTCTTTTGCACTGTAGTTAATCGTGGCTTTTCTTTGGCATACAACAAGTTGTGCAACTTTAGGGTTTTTACTTCACTTTTTTTATAAGCTATTACTTTTTTTCACATATCGTGGCTTAATATTAACTCAACCAGTTACGTTATATCTTATATTTTAAACCTATAACACCATACTACATTTTTATTATTTGTGTTTGATAATGCAAAACTAAGATTTCAATAATTGGGCCAACTGAAGTGGGAAGGGCTCGCACATCCCGGATAGGCAACGCCGCGTTAGGGTTGTCTCTTACACTGATTTGTACTCCTGATGATGCTCGACTTGTTTAGCGGTGGCAGTAACAACCCGTATTTATCTATACTTTTTATTTTTGAAAGTATGAGGCACAAAAACATAGAAATTGAGCACTGGCCAATCTTGATGAAAAATAGTATAATTCATGTTGTGCTGAACCAAAGCCATTCCTCTGAATGAATTATTGTTACGCGTACCCACAACCTTTGTCACCAGCAATAGAAAGCATTTTTGGTCTGTACGTCCACTGGAACATTGATTCAGCAAAACATGAACTATACGAATTAAAAATGACGGTGGTCGATTTCCATATGCTTTGTGCCTGGTACTATGCGTATCTTCAGGAGATTATGCTACTAAAAAGAGATAAACTTGGTGATTGGTACTTGGAAGAAGAAGAAAATATCTGGTCCGATTCTTGGCGTAAAATATATTGACATGGACGGAGATGGAGTCAAAGATTTGGTCATTTTCTCAACAAAAGGGGTTCATATTTTGCAGGTAATTTATAGTCAATGTGTGTACATTCAATTACTAAAAATATCGTGGACTACTAAGCCCTGTCGCGTCTTAAATTTTATGAAATGATTACGGTTACATGTCAAAAAATCCCTAATCCTTGATTCAGCGATTAAAATTGAGATGCTTTTCTTCGACACCATAAGAAAAACAACTCGTGGTCACCAAATGGAGTAACAGAAACGTTTTCACAAAAATGTGAACTATCTTTTGAACTTAAGGTCTCGATATATAAATATATTTTACCAAAGTGTATTCCAAAAGTCTGACGTTAATGTTGACTTGAACTTCATCGTTAATCAAGATAATAAGATTTTAATTTTTTTTTCAGCATGATACCGCCCAACTGCAAAAGACTATGACTCAAAACTAGAAAACCTACTTTGTGGCGCCAATTTGTTATGATTATTTTTCTATATAATTAAAGCATTACCTCAAGGATCTGTAAAGACAGCAAATATACTTACATGATTTTTTCTGTGATACTGATGATTCAAACCATACATACCTATAACAAATTAATATATATGTTTTGATATATTATAATGATGTATTATGTATTATTTAAGTACAAATAAAAGTAGAGTGCTTTTTAAATATTTATTGGTGAATCCAGGCACAGATAAATTCTTTTTTTGTTGTGGGACTATAAATAGTTAAATACTACCAACTACCGCGTAATGGCTTATTTATAATATTTACAAAGTACATGTAACAAATCCTAAACATATAAAATCACGAACTATGTATGCCTTAACTAAAATTGCTTAAAAAATTATAACAATGACTTTTTGTCTATACTATATCCCAACATGACTCCTCCCAAAATTACGAAATTATTTTGAATAAATAAAAAGCAAACCATTCGTTAAATTGTATATTAAAAAAAAAATTACAAATCTTGAAAAATGGGAATCCACTGAATTTATACAGAATTATTGAATTATCTTCTCATAAAAAAGCAATTTTATTTTGTTCAAAAAAATTTTGTTTCATTCATGATACCATATC